AAAAAATATTTCCAGCAAGAAATTGAAGGACAAGTATGTTTCTATTCACACTGCTTTCCCAATGTTTTAATGAACACATGTATCTTTGATAAATGTTAAAGATAAATGTAAATTTATTTTAAAGATGACATTTCACTTATCGAGACTCAGGTCATGTATAAGTCTGATATTATTATTGCCCAGTAATGTGTAAGTTCCTGTCATAGAAATATATTTTTGTATTTCAGATTTAATGAATCTCTACATGTAGTCCTCGAATTACAACCACAATTGATCCCAAAATTTCTGTTTCTAAGTGAGACATTTTTAAGTGAATTTTGCCCCATTTTACGACCTTTCTTGCCACAGTTGTTAAGGAAATCTCTGCAGTTAACCTAATATGGTTGTCAAGTAAATCTGACTTCCCCATTGATTTTGCTTGTGAAAAGGTTAAAAAAGGGGGCTTACATGACCCCAGGACACTGCAACCATAATAAATATGAGTCAGTTGTCTAGCATCTGAATTTGTCCTTTTTCAGTGCCATTGTAACTTTGAACAGTCACTAAATGAAGTGTTGTATGTCAAGGACTACCTGTACTTGATTCTGAAGAACTTGTCATGTATACACGTCTCCACTCTTTACTGAATCTTCTGGTTTTAGATTAGAAGTTCAAAATACAATGAATCTTGTGGTTCTCAGGTTCCCTTTTGTTTTATTCAGACATATTGCATCATGCTTTCATATTTCTAAACTAAATTGAACTTCTAGAGATCCAGTTCTTGACTAAACTATGCTTGCTACTGTCTCATCCAATTACTTACAACCCATTTAATTTAGCAAAGTAAATTGTAGGTCTTGAAATTTATTACTCAAGATTATCTGTTTTTCTCTTCCTTTTTTATTCTTACAATCTGTGAAGTAGACTAGGATGAGAAAAATTGACCTACTCAATTGGTGATTTTTTATTTTTTTTTTCTAAAAAAGTTTAATTCTTTTCGGGTTTAGTCCAGTATTCTAATTCAAAACTAGGAAATTAAACCACTCTTTGTTAACATTCTGTTGTTGCTATAACTATTTTTTCTTTTAAACCAGGCCTTTGTAAAAATGATTGGTAATAATGTGGCTGGAATGGAGGAACAGATCATAAAGGCAGAATCAGACCTTGGAAATTTTCCAAATACGTTAAAGAAATTATTCTACACAATCAACGTGCCATCTTTTCTAAATGTAAGTTTTCTTTATTAAGGCTGACATGATGTAAGATACAAATTGAAATTAGTTTATGGAGTAGATTATAGAAACCTTAGACTTCTTTAATCTCTATAGCAGGGACAAATCTGATCCAAATCTAGATGTATAACTTCCATAAGCACAAGATGGATGATCGAGTATTAGGAATTCATAAATTTATGATACATTTACCCCAAATAATTTCCAAAATAACTTTCAGTAAGATAATTATTTTAGATTTTCAAAGAATGTAAAAATGGGGGACAAATGATTATTTTAATATTTATTTTTTCAGAGTCTTCCCTTAAATAAATAGAAAGGAATTTGGAGGACAACAGATTATCTGCTTCTGTTGTCCTCCAGAGGAAGGGCTTGGATAAGCATGCCTGTTTCATCCACCATGCTCCTTTATTCTGTATATAAGGCAATTCAGGTAGTCCTCGACTTAGAATGTTCCTTCAGTGACTGTTCTAAATTACTATGGCACTGAAAAAAGGAACTAACAATATTTACCCAAAGTTACAGCCACTTCAGTGCCCCTGTGGTCAGTTGAGCAAGTTGGGCACTTGGCAAGTTACCTACCCTTACGATTGATTGCAGGGATGCTGCAACCTCCACTTGGTTTTCTTCCTTTCCATCTCATCCAAGTGAATCCCTTGGATCTATCTTCTTCCTGACTGAGTTCCCACAGGGCTTGGGCCTGCTTCCTTCCCCATGGGCCCCACATCCTTGTGCCTCCTCCCCCCATCACTCCTCACTTCACTTACCTTTTCTGATGATCACCTTTGTGAAAGAGAAGTGGCCAGTCTACCGCACAGCCTTCCTACAGTTATATAAAGCTGTATGGTATTGTCCTGAAAGTGCCATTTGGGAGCAGCCACAATTATAACAGGTAGTCCTTGACAGGGTGCTTTTGTCTACATGGTCTTTCTAACTTGCTATAAGTTAGACCTCAAAAAACAAAAATTATATATCTCAGGTCCTCTATAGAGAGAGATCTTTGGCTTAGTCTGTAACCACACCATGTAGATGATGCAGTGAGCTGAGCTATCTTGCTCAGCTGCTCTCCATTTCCTTTCTGTGGCTTACATGCGTTTAGAAAAGCTGTGTAAAGATACTTGCTTGAAATAAATACTTTGGAGGACAAAAATCCATTCACTAATTTGGGAGTTAACTAAATAAAGAGAATAAAGATAGAAAGGTTCCCCATCTTGACATATTAGAACCTCCTGTAGCTAGTGGCTTATCTAGGCCTGTTTGTTCAGTATGTTTACCTTTGCACTTAAAATATTTTTATTGGACAACTGCAACATTGAAATAATCTGTACATATTGAGCATGTTTGCATGGCAGACTGACCTGATTATCTACCAAAAGATAAGGATAGCTCCAATTAAATCAGGAATAATGAGACTTCTAACCAATAATGGAGGGCGGGGGAATGTCACATTCCCCTGTTTCATAGCAGTTACTGCTATCATTTACTACCAAGGCAACAGCCAACATGGACCTGAGAAGACAGACTTGGCTTCTGCACCTTTTGTCCCCATTTGTCATGCATCTCCTGGCTCTGTGTTTGGGATGGGGGAGTGGGATAATCTGAAAGAAATGGCTGGACTCACTTTTTCAAGTGAAGCAAGTTAGCATACAAGTGGATGAAAAAAGCTGTAAAATATGCCTGAGGCATCTATGCAAGCCTTGCAAACGGCATAGCTCATTTCATGATTCAGAGATGTTTTTCATTTGTGCTCTGTATATTGGAAAACTCCACAATCCTAGGAGACTTTTCATGAAAAATAGTGGATAACATTTCTGACTTCCTTTTCAGAATCTATATGTTCCAGAAACCCTTTATGCACTTTGAAATTTAAATGTAGTTCCAATCTTTTCAAAATCTGCTTGGTATATTTTATGGAAGACACACAAACATAAGAGGGGCATTTTGTTCAAAACTATTAAATTGTACGTTCTAAAAAAGTCAGGTGTACAAGTATTTTGATATGTAGATTTTCATTACAGAAATCATCTTCGAGGCAAAATCAAACCCTGTATGAGCCACTTGATCTCTTCAAAACTGAAGACTACTTTCCTTGTCTTGATCAAGGACAATGTATATGATTTAACTGGAAGCGGTAACATGTAAAGGAGAGTATTATCAGTAAGATCCAGGCTGGCCTTTAGGTTATTGCTGCACTTTTTTTCAGAAAACTACGGTGCCTTCCTTGTGTGTGCCAGTTTGTCTTCCAGCATATTTACTTTGGCTGGATTTTATGTAGAAATAATATACTAGTATCTTAAAAGCACAATCTAATATAAAGCCTTAAGTGGCAGCTACTATTATCAAGAAAAGATAGTATGTATATTATATAAACTATAAGCAAGTCTAACACTATCCTCTTGAGAGATTAGAGGGGGAATGGGAGGGACTGGATACACAGGAAGAAGGTCTTCCAGCCATTATTTTCAGCCAGAATAGTTCAGAAAACCTATATAATTCACCTCTGTATTTCCCTCTCTCCTAGTATAAGACTAGAGTATGAAAGATTTTACAGCCAAGTATCAAACTGTGTTCCATGGTTTTCTGGGTAAATTCTTTTTGAAGATTAAAGTCCATATGAAGAGAAATAGGTGGGGAAAACAAAATATACTGCATTTCCTGCTGTTAATCTCTGTACCACAGGCATATTTTTGAAATAGTAGTACTTAAAGTGCAATAAGGACCAAAATATGCATTGATGGTAATGATCTTGATTCTGTCAACACAGGAAGAAATCCACTGGCTGACTAGAGCATAGTATAAGTAACTTTGTTCTTTGAAGTGCTATATATTAAAGAAAAACAGCAATATGTAGTTTGCTAAGTTGCAGAAGCAACTGTTTCATAAAGTTTTTCATGAATATCCTTTTATATAAAATGTAAAATGTTTGATCACCAAAGCACTTACATGTTAACTTGTAATTAAGCATTTAAATTTTTAGATTAAAATGCCATTTTAAAGTATGTTGTCCATATCTTAACTACAAAGCGATCTTAAGATCCTAAATGCATTCAAGAAACTGTGACAAGATGGTTGGCTTTTTTTACAATGTTAAGATGGCAGGGGAAAAAAAGTATTAATAGCAAGTCCAGCAGTTCCTGCCACAACTATACACTATGAATTTGTGGGACAAGTGGGGCAAGGGAAACTTTTATGACAGTTCTTTTTGTCACAGAAAGCTAGAGGGAACAGGGCCTTGATTTTTAAATTTTTCTTTTTAACTGAGAATATGACATCTTCCAAGAACTATTCTAATCTTTATTCTGAAGTTTGCTTAACCATGATGCACAAAAATGTTGATGTAAAAATGAAAAGGGGCTTAGTAATATATACCATCTATGTAAACCAGTAACCTGATTTATGGTAGGGTCAGCTTTATCACAGGAATATGTGAAAGCTTTATAGAATCTAATTTGAGGAATCACCTTTTTCTGCTTGTACCTCCATCATATTATCAGCCAATCTTTTCTAGTCTTACATTGTGGGAGACAAATTTACATTCTTCAAACATTTTGGATTTCAGCTCCCATTAATTCTGGCTGTATACCTCATTGAAAAGTGGAGTTCTTGTCACTCTCTGAGCTTGGTCATTTGCTTGCAGATGTTTCGTTACCTATATGTATTTCTTGGAATTATTGACAAGTGTGAAAATACTAGTTCAACAAAGGGAAAGTGGGGCTAAATTGATTAGGAAGGTGCAGTTTTTCATTTGTCCTTTTCATTACAAAATCAATATGATTGTGAGCAACTGAATCAGAATTCTAGTTTTTATGAATTTACACTTACTAAGGGTAACAATATAACTCATTTAAGCCTTTTTAAGTTTTACTTCAAGGGGAATACATCCATCATATCTGGTATAAGAACAAGTTGAAGCATTTAATTTCATTTTCAGATCTGACCATATAGCCTTTTACATGGAAGCAACTGTTCATTGCACCTAATGATATGGTATATGGTAAAGTACTAACATCGGTGCATACATCAGAAACTATTCAACCTCTCCTAAATCAGTAAACTAAATGTAGGAAAGAAAAGTGTATCATGTGATTTTACTGATGACCACTCAAAAAACAATTATAGATAATTTTTCAGTCTGGCCTCTGGATTCCTCTATGTGAATTACTAGCAAGGTATATAACTGGAGGTGAATGCCATCATTAAGATAGAATCAATGCAGAGTTGTTTCATTAAAAAAAGGAACAAGATCCTATCACTGTAATGAGAAACATGTATAGAGCAAAACTATCCGTCCATATAACTTGCTGCTGGCTAGGTTGGGCTCCCACCAATTAGCTAAGCACTGAAGCAGTATATAGTAAATTACTACAATATAGCACAGATGCAAAAGCTATGTTTGAATTCACAGATACCACATTGTATTAATTTTGCTCCTCCATAACTTTGAGCCAGTACTTGCAAAGAAATGAACACCAGTTTGGTGGTGATTAAGTCATCGTGCTAGAAAGCAGGAGATCATGAGTTCTAATCCCGCCTTTGCCGTGAAAGCCAGCTGGGTAACCTTGGGCCAGTCACTCTCAGCCCAATTCACAGGGTTGTTGATGTGAGGAAAATAGGGGGAGGAAGGCATGTTAGATATATTTGCCACCTTGAGTTATTTGTAAAAATAATGTGGGATACAAATAATTAAAATGAAATGCAGGAAACTCTTAAGCAAAAGCACTACTATTGTAACAACTCCATTTCCAATGTTGGTAAGTAATCAAACAGTTATACAGTAGTTTTAAAATACAGTAACAATAGCAATGACAATAAGTGTATTCATTCTCCTTTTCTAAAAATAAGACTTTATACTGTATGAATTTTGACCAAATAACAGTTTAAACTCCCCTCAGTTTAATCTTGGAATCTACCATCTTCCAGAGCAGGTAGTTGTCTTATCTTTAATTGGCTGCAGTACTTTTATTTTGTGCATAGTATATACGTTTAGTCAATGTTATTCTTCACTTCAGAATCTAATATTTCTCTCAATAATCCTGAAAGATGAAGTGGGAGCCATGAAAACTATTCTTGCTTTCGGTGGCCAGGTCTTCCAAGACCTTCATTCCTGCTACATAATTATCAGTTCTAGTACAGGTGTGACCTTTCAGTTTCTATATCTCCAGCAATAATAAATTATATTTAAATATCTCTGCCTTGACATAACTCCTAGAAAATGAGGCTTCGTGAAAGAACAGAAACCAAACCAGTAAACCCTATTACAATTCTCTGCCAATTATAGAAATCTAAACAGCCTGCAATGCAAGTGCTTAAATTGCAATTAGTTACATGCAATTTCGGCAAAACAAGTCTTGCCATAAGAAACGTTTTTAATAACTAAAATGCACTGTAAAGTCTGCAACCAAAATGTTCTCTGATAGGGCAGTAATAAGCTATGCTGTTCAAATGAATAGCTAGTTATCTTCTAGGGGCTAAAGACTAACCTGGATCTAGAAACTGTTCAATCATCCACTGCCCCAACATATTTTAAAAAGTAGTAATAAAACTGCTAACAGCTTTAGCTGTATTTTTGTTTTAAAATGTCTAACAGGCTTATCTCTTGAATAATTTTAGACAAAACTATTATCTATTCATAGTATCAAACCATTGACCACTATGGCAGAAGTTTTCACTCTGCATTTTGAAGAAAAATAACCCAAAGCTTATAAATGGCAAGCATTTTTTCACATGTACACATGTGTGTATCAATCGCAATGCAACATATTCCCACACTAGATTGCTGAAGAAGTTGTCTTTAATCCCATATTCCAAGGCAGTCTTCACAGCAAGATAGCAAAGTGTCAAGAATTTATTTCCAATATTGTTCTTGACTATTTGTCAGCACAAGGGATTAACAGTCATGAATGCAATACCTATACCTTTCTGGAACAAAATGCAAACTAGAATGCTCGCAGCAAGCTACAGCATTAAGTAAAGTTAGCTCTAGACAGCCATTTTAGTCTACATCAATTTTTCCAACCTGGACACCTTCCAAATACATGAGCTTCACCTCACAGAATTCTGTAGCAAGAATGGCATAATTAAGAATTATAGTAGCATATTTGGGGTATATGAGGAAGACAAATACATCTTAATTGAACAGGTAGCTCCTAACTTTATTTAATCCAAGATGCATTACCAATACTTGAAAGATCTAGAATTTCTTACTAAGGAGAAATTCAGAAACAGCATTTGAAATTATCTCATGTGTACCATTGTACCTACAGGAGCAAATAAGTGTTTTAATATCAGTATTTTTGCATTTGGTACTGGCTATACACTGCCAAGTTTGAACATTTTAAAGTGTGATAAGGTCATATTGAAAGCCAAGCATCTTAATTTTAAACAGAGGGGATGATTCTTTTACACTGTTATAATCATCTAACCAATTTTGATATGTTACCAAAACTATACACTTTATTTTTTTTAGAAGCAATTGTTTTTTTCAAAAAAAAAAATCTAGAAATTTGTTACACAATTGTATAAAATCCCATGGACAAAACTACATCATAAGCAAGGGAACAAAACAGAACAAAAGGAACTAGAACTTCAGGTATTCTGAAATACACCCCCACAGCACTGATTGTGTTCACACAAAATAGTGAGCTATGATTCTAAAAAAATCTAGTTTATCATTCAGGAGCAGCACATTGCCCTGTGACTCAACCTTGGTACCATCCACTAGTCAGAACTATAGTAACCTGTGTTTACCTAAAAGGAGATTTCTTCTTGCTGATTTCTTATTATAGTCAGTGTTAGTGATGGACAGAACAAAGGACTGATTGGACAAAGTAAAAATGCTTGTGAATGATAATATTTTTTTGTAATTCTAATTTACTACTGTATGCAAATATAGCCAAAGAACAGTAATATTTTAATATTACAAAAAAATTAAGTGGAATAGTTTCTGATGTAATATGCAGTCTTGGTTGCCTGATATCAGGACTACTTTTTTTAAAAAAAATTATACATCCTCCAATTTACATTTTAAATTCAAATTGTGCTTTACATTTTTAAGTTCTGACATACTAAAGCCCAAAAGCACAGATGGCTTAACGTTTTTTATTGCCTTTAGGCAGAAGTATCTCTTTCTCCCAAAAAATGATGCAACATCCACTTTCCATGCACGTAGCATGGATGACAGCAATTCTAGTTCCTTTTTACTGGGATATGGCTTCTTGTGAAAATAATCTGCAAGAAACCTTTTTTGGACTTCATTTGAGCTTTGTTGGAATGGCTTCGGATTCAAAACCAACAGATGAAGATCTTCAACTGAAGTCTCTCCCTTGGTTTCAGTTTTATGATCAGACTTTTGTCGTTTCGAAGGCACACGATTCACCTCCTTTACTGGAATTTGGGCTGTACCATTATTTATAATGAAGAACGGCGGATCCTCATCGCTTTGGTCTTCTGAAACAGAAGCAGCATAAAGATGATCAGACTGCTTCCTCTTGGCTGAAAGAGAAGCATCCTCATGGTTCTCCCCATTCATAAGGGGTAGATCCTGCTTCTCATCAAGGTCAACCTGCATCTTCATAGCTGGCGAGGTCTCTTTAGGAGCACTACGGCATCGAAGCAAATGCACAGCTATAGCTGTCAGAGTCATGTTGCCAGTGTATACTCCACAGCAGTGGATACATTTAAAAGCAGGAGTCTTCAAAATGGTGTGCACAGTTGGCATGATGTGATGCTGCTCTTTCAAGTGCATTTCATAAGCATCTGTGCTAGTGAAAGTATCGTAACAAAAAGGGCAAGTAGAAACTTTCTTGTTCTCGCTGCTCATTTCAGCATCCTCTTGTTGCAGTTTGATATACAAAGGAATAAGTGTCCTTGAATTTACACCAGCGAGTACAACAAGATGCACTTCTCTTTCACAAAATTCTTTCGAAGTTATACTGAAGTCAAAATGAGGGAATACTAGCTGACCTTCAGAATCCCTCGCAAGCTGAAACCCTTTATCATCATAATCTGAGTGCAGTTCCTTCTTTCCATTATGCGCAGTTTGTGTGTGTGTCACAAGGCATTTTAAATCATAGAAAATACTGGTGCAGAAGAGGCAACTTAACCCATGGATAAAAATATGTTTTAAAAGCTCTGCCTGAGTTAGAAAGCATTTACAAGAAAAACATCGCACCGTCTTATCTTTTAGCCACCTCAGAAAAGGTGCACAGACAGCAACTTTGTCTATTTCACAAGTCATCTCCGTCTTAGATGTGCTACATTTGTGGGCCACTTGCATGTGTACTTGATAGACATTTGATGGGAAAAGCTCACTACAAACAGGGCAAGTCTTCCATTGCTTAGCCTGTTTAAGAACTAGATTCATTGCAGTACTGGTTGGAGAAGTCTTGGTAAGAGTATTTGTAGAACTTACTGCAACAGGAGATGGCACAGTAGCAGGACCCTGAGACAGCTGGGCAACTGGGCCAGATGGCATCAACTGAACAGGTACCAGAGGCGGTGGAACCGTTGCCACCCCACCACCTGGTGGCCCAGGCAAAGTCACAGAAACTGGTGCAAGAGTGTATGTAGGTATTCCATTGACTTGTTTGCCAGTTGGAATTAACTGTCTGAGCACAGGTCCAGTGGCAAGTAAAGTAGCATTTTGAGACACTCCAGGTCTAACCTCTGGTGTAACAGGCTGATTAAACTGTACAATCCCAGGTCCAGCAGATGGGTTTACAGGAAGAACTCCTGGTGTGACTGGATGGTTAAACTGAAGAACTCCCGATGTAATTGTTTGGGGAACTGGAAGAACACCAGGCCCACTGCCAATAGGCCGATTTACAGCAAGGATGCCAGGTGACGAAGGCCTGTTAACGGGAATAGGACCAGGCCCTGGCATAATTGGATTGCTGATAGTTCTGACTGATTGATTACCTACAGGAAGCACAGAAGGCCTGATAGGTCGAGTGAAAGAAATGACTCCTGGAGGAACAGCTCTGCTTATGTTTCCTGTGGGTTGATTTAAGCAAAGAACTCTGGGTCTTACTGGCTGTTTTAAGGGGAAACGATGAGAAACAAAGACTGGTTGGGAAACTCCAGGCTGAAGACCAGCACTATTCTGATTTGCTGGGCGAGAACCAGAAAGAAGGGCAATATGTAACCGGTCAGCAGAAGTCGAAGCTGTCATAGTATTGGCGCTACCTGAAACGCTCAAAGGTGCAACCACGTTATGAACTGCTTTTGTCGGCACCGTATTTTGATTCTGATTAACTGATGGAAGTGGAAGTTGAAAACGTGGTGTAGAATTTGATCCTACAGAGGTAGGAATCAGTTGTGAAACAGTATTGATTGTAGACGGCTTGGGAGCAATATTGATAATCTGCAGTGATTTCATTTGTCCTGTTTTTTTAGGCTGAACTGAAATTACACGTCCCAATATGTTCTCCAGATCTTTATGTACTTCAGAGGTTAAGACATGATATATTAAAGAATCCCGGCTATTTGCAAAAGCATTACACTTTTTACAGTAGTGATCAGTAAAGTTCTCTTCGCTGTCATCAGGCCTCTCCTCAAAATATGTGCTTATTAGATTTTGAAAATGGCTTACCAACACATGTTTCTTTGTATTGTAGTAGAGCATGTCAGAAAATTGACACTTCTGGCATACAAAGTTTACTGCATCATTCCGGAATTGTTTCATACCACCACTCACATTATAATTTTGTATTTTCTTCTTGGAGTGAAACATTCGGAGGTGTTTTCCTACTATCTTAGAATGCGAAGCAAATGAACATTCTGGACAAGGAACAACTAACTCTTGATCCATTTCATCTTCATGGTAGCGAGTCAGGTGATTTTTGAAAGAATTAAGAAATTTTGATGAAAATTTGCACAAGCTGCAGCAATATGGATTTGTTCTGTATCTCTGAAAAATAAGAAAAACGGGCATCATTTGTAGAGCTCTCAAATAATATATGTATCAACTGGTCAATTCATATTACCGAAAAAGCACCACAGTATTGTTAACCAGATATGAACTCTTCTTCAGGAGATTATAATAATCTAGCTTTCTTCTCTGTTTTGAATAATGTTAATATAATAATACAAGTAGTATGAGGACCAAGCTAAATGAAATCTAAACTTTTTGCTGCTGTTTGCTAAGAATCAGTAAAATTACTACAATACTAGCAGTGTGGACTCCAGCTTAGTCTAAGAACAGAAATAAATGAGGAAAGAAAGGAAAGAAGCAATGCCCTTCTATGTCATAAGTTTATACAAGAATTACCAAAATGAATATCAAATATCTATTACCATTTATGGTTAAAAGAAAATTAAAGGAATATATCAATGGAAATCTTTAGTCCATCAAATTAAGACAAAAAATTTAAAGCAGAATAAGTTGTTACTGGAACTGTAGAGGAATAAATATGACAGTGCCAATTAGATGTTCAATATATTTAATTACGGAGTTATCAAAGAACTAACAGCTGTAGTAGCTTGTATTCAAAATGCTGCAAAAGGAACCACTTATTCTGCATGCAATTCTGACAATTTAATGAAGAAACATACAACAAAATAAATAAGGTAACTGACAAAATGCAGAACAATCAACTTTCTTATTCTATTTTCAGAACATCTTCCCGTTATAGAACATTAGCTTTTGAAATTAAAAGAAGTCTTATAATACAACATAGTACCAACTTTTCAAATCAAAATTGTTTTTTTTAATCCAACAAGGCATGTTCAAACAACTGAATCCATTTAAATCTGCAAATGATGATAACTATATTACATACCTTTCTTTTAGCAACACTGTCCCAATGAGATACATCATTCCATGAAGTACTAGAGAAATATTTTTCTCCTGGATCAAAACTTTTCAGAGTCTAAGAAAAAGCAAGGTGGGTAAGAAAATACCTCATAACTAAAATAAAATGTTACTTAATGCAGTTACTTTAAAATTAGAATGAAATTCCAAAGCCTGGTTTAATACCTCAACTTTTTTTTCCAAATCCTATAGCTCAAGCAAACCACAATTACCAAAAAGCATAATGTATGACCTTTATTATTTTATTTTTTAAAAAAAATCCACTCCAAACAAAAGGTGAATTATGGCCTCACGGACTTGGCATTACCATCCTGACCATAACTGCTTTCACCTTCCTAAATGATTTTCAAGAATGGCTTTTGGCCAGCTAAAGTAGGCCCACTCATTTGAAATCAGTAATTTTATCTGGTTTGTGCCAATCCAAGCTCAGCACTTCACATTCTCACAATGCTGGGGGTCTTCAATAGCAACCTTTCTGGGTCAACTATGGAGCAGGAAGAAAGCCTGGAAGTCATTGGGTGAGCAAATCCCTACCTTGCCCTATTTTCTCTCTCCTTTTGAAATCAAGATGGCAGGGCACTCTATCGTGGTTTTTAAATTAAATAAAGAAATGGCATTGCATCTTTCCTGCTTTTGTCCTCTCAGAAATTAATAAAGAACAAGAAAGGAAGGGGAAAGATGAAGTGAGATGTTGGTTGGATGCTGCTTTTTGCATTTCCCAATTGGATGGAAAGCTGGCCTGGCTCATTAATAGCACTAAATGTTTGTGAATATGATATTCTGATCTGTCAGCGTAATAAAGTTTTGAAATAATCTGAAGATGGCAAAAGTGAAAGCTGTGCTGATGCAGAATCCCCTCTGATGGTTTGGGAAATGAAGCAGGGAGCACAGTGCAAGTACAAGTAAATCCTTATAGCCATGTTTTCAACCCTTTAGCAGTGATAATTCAACAGTAATATTTTTGCCCACTTAATTCAATCAAATTAATTGAGTTTTGAGGCCACCTAACTTCAAAAGGACTCGGAGCATCTTACAATATTTAAAATTTGAGGAAGATTGGCTGTCTAGAAACACAAAATATAAATAAATATAAATAAAAGATGAATGTTCAGACACGTCAACAACATTCACAAGAGATTTGACAGGGGTTCCAAAATACCCTAGCTCCAGTCCTGGGAACAAAACTAGGCTTTTAGGGAATTCACAAACACTTGAAGAATGGGAATCATGCATATCTCTGAGGGAATGTTGCTCCCAGAAGCACATGCTTCCATGTATTCAATATGCTTTTTCCTGTTATAAATTCTAAATGTATAGTAAAACTAAACTTAAAGTATTAATTCAACCATGCATTCAATTTTTAAGATTTCTCATCAATGCTGGAAATCTATAAGTGATATTAAACACAGAATATATTTTCTTCAGCTAAAATGCATGATATCTAGTTATGCCAAATGCTTTCTCACAGGGTTTTTGTAAGAATCAAATTAGCAAAAGAGAGGATCGTTTATGATGCTGTGAGTTTATACAGGAAAATCAGAATATAAATGCAATATAAAAATAACCAAAACAAATCTCTTCAGAGATTTAAATATCTATATTTATCTGAGATATTACAATTGATTTGGTGTTTTATTCATCTGAAAAGGTTTTGTTTATGTAACTGAGGAAGCTTATAAAATTTATTTGATTTCCCTTGATTTTAAGATATAAACTACTATATTTTAAGACAATTTTTACATAGGTGTATTTGACTAATCTGTATTCATGCAGACATTATAACTGCAGTATTAAAATATGTTTAAGCCACAGAAAACTATTGAAACCTAAAATAATATTTATTCAGTTGTTTAATTTAGACTTCTACCTAGATGAGTACTGTAGTCAAGGAGACCAGACAAAATAGATACAGTTGCAAGAAAAAGTATGTGAACCCCTTGGGATTACGTGGAGTTTTGCATGAATTGGTCATAAAATGTGCTCTGAACTTCATCTAAGTCACATCAATAGAAAAACACAGTCTGCTTAAAATAATACTACACAAACATTAGATGTTGCCATGGTTTAATTGAACATAACATGTAAACATTCACAGTGCAGGGAGGAAAAAGTATGTGAACCTTTGGACTTAATAACTGGTTGACCCTCCTTTGGCAGCAATAACCTCAACCAAACGTTTCCCGTAGTTGCAGATCAGACTGCACAACGATCTGGAGTAATTTTGGACCACTCCTCTTCACAAAACTGTTTCAGTGTAGCAATATTCTTGGGATGTCTGGTGTGAATCGCTCTCTTAAGGTCATGCCACAGCATTTCAATCGGGTTGAGGTCAGGACTCTGACTGGGCCACTCCAGAAGGCGTATTCTGTGCTGTTGAAGCCATTTTTTTTTTGTTGAATTACTTGTATGCTTTGGGTCATTGCCCTGTTGCATCACCCATCCTCTGCGGAGCTTCAGTTGGCGGACAGATGGTCGTATGTTTTCCTGCAAAATGTCTTGATAAACTCTGAAATTCATTTTCCCATCAATGACAACAATCCGTCCAGGCCCTGAGGCAGCAAAGCAGCCCCAAACCATGATGCTCTCTCCGCCATGTTTTACAGTGGGGATGAGGTTTTGATGTTGGTGTGCTGTGACTTTTTTTCTCCACACATAGTTTTGTGTGTTCTTCCCAAACAACTCAATTTTGGTTTCATCTGTCCACAGTATATTTTCTCAGTAGTGCTATGGAACATCCAGGTGCTCTTTTGCAAACTTCAAACGTGCTGCAATATTTTTTTGGGACAGCAATGGCTTCCTCCGTGGTGTCCTCCCATGTACTCCATTCTTGTTTAATGTTTTCCTTATTGTAGATGTGTCAACAAAAATGTTAGCATGTGCCAGAGATTTCTGTAGGTCTTTAGCTGACACTCTAGGTTTCTTCTTTACCTCATGAAGCATTCTGCGCTGTGCTCTTGCAGTCATTTTTACAGGACGACCACGCCTAGGGAGAGTAGCAACAGTGCTAAACTTTCTCCATTTGTAGACAATCTGTCTTAACATGGACACATGAACATCAAGGCTTTTGGAGATACTTTTGTAACCCTTTCCAGCTTCATGCAAGTCAACAATTCTTGATCGTAGGTCTTCTGAGAGCTTTTTTCTGCGAGGCATGGTTCACATCAGACAGTGCTTCTTGAAACCAGTAAACCTGAAACAGGTGTGTGTTTTTAAAGGGCAGGACAGCTGTCAGCAACACATCCAATATCATCACACTGATTGGAGTCAAGGTTGGCTCACTCCTGGCTCCAATTAGCTCTTGGAGAAGTCATTAGGCTAGGGGCTCACATACTTTTTCCTCCCTGCACTGTGAATGTTTACATGTTATGTTCAATTAAACCATGGCAACATCTAATGTTTGTGTAGTATTATTTTAAGCATACTGTGTTTTTCTATTGTTGTGACTTAGATGAAGTTCAGAGCACATTTTATGACCAATTCATGCAAAACTCCACGTAATCCCAAGGGGTTCACATACTTTTTCTTGCAACTGTAAATTTAGGCTTAAAAGTAGTCTTTTTAAAAAGTATGTATTTTTTCCTTTAAAGGCCAATACAGGTAGTTCTCATTTAACAGCCACTCACTCAGGGACTGTTCAAACTTGCAGGAAAACAATGAATAGTATTTATGATCCATTCCTCAGAATTCCAGCCATCACAATGTTCCCATGATTGTAATTTCCAAAGTTCTCTACTGGCTTCCCATGAACAAAGTCAATGGGGAAACCAACAGGAAGTCAAAAGTCATGATCCTCACTTATTGATGGCAACAGCACTGCCTTTGCTAAGAAATGTGGTCACATAACATCATCTTTACAACTACATTGCAATCAACATTGTTAACTGAGGACTACTTGTGTTAAGTCCATGAAAAGGGTATTTTATTCAACTTTTTGAAAAAGTATTGCCACATGTGAAAAAAAAAATTTTTTAATTAAAAAAAAATTATGGAAATAAAAAAAGTGGGAATATTTTTATATTAGTAATAGTCAGCAAAAAATGCAGAACAATAGTGATATGTTTCCCTATCTATAAGTTTGATTTTTTGAATAGTCATGTATACATTCAAATAAGCAAAGAACATTGCAGAAATCATTCTAGATTTGAATGATCTGGCTATAGATAGCCTGCTTGTTCCTCTCCCTTGCCCTTTCTGATCCTCAGCGTGCACTACCCAAGTGCTATTCTGCTACCAATGCGGTAAATACGGGCAACAAAAATCATAGAATATAGGCCCATGGAGAAAAAAGGCATCTGAAGTAGGGAAAACGATTAAATTTGATAACTGTACAAATGATCTCAAATTATATTTACAAAAAAGAAATCTATCTTCCTTCATGGTCTCTATTGTTCATGCATTACAAAATGTAATTAATTAACAAAAAGGGATATGCCTATGATATTATAGGAAACAGCCACTCAAAAATAGCATTTGCTCAAGCCCAAATATCAAGCGTACAAAAATAAAGGGATTACCCGTAATTAAGTATTTTGGATGCAGAGTCTGTTGAGAAAAACAGACAGCAGAACTTACAGTAGAGATGGGCAATTAATTTTTCCATGGGGCCATGTGAGAAACTGGGACTATTGTGGAGGGCTGCTGCTCAGGGGCGGGTTTCAAAATCTGTTGCTAACAGTTCGCTTGTGGGCGCTCGCGCACACAACATTCTACACATGCGTAGAAGCGTCTGGGTGGGTGGGCAGAGCCTCCCGCTGCCAGTACCAATTCGCCCAATCCAGGGCGAACCAGTAGTAACCTACTGCTGCTGCTGCTCCCACTGCTATCCCCCCTCCTCTGCTGTGGGCTAGCAGGCAGTCAAAGAGTTGGATATGGCCTGTAAAATGCCCAGATCTGACCTAGCGCCTACCAAAAAGGCCCCATGTAATAATATAGCAATTGACAACTTTCTAGCCTAAGCAAATAATGGAAGATAAAGTATTTCAAAAGCTGAGACAAAGCTGGTTGAACTATTCAACTATCTTTGTTAGGAAATGGACCTAAGCAGCATAAATAGAAGAAAACTGCTTTATAAACATAAAGCAAATGAAATAAGCTTTATTGGTCCTGATGAATTGAAAAGTAAAACAAAGTTGATGCTCTAGTTTAAGTGAACTGTAAAAGCCCTCTTTATTAAGATGTCTGATTGAAGAATGACTTGTCAGCTAAAATGTTAAGTCTGAGATCACTTGTTCTAATGATCATAAATGAAAAACACTAAAGAAGAAAGAAATCCAACTCCTCTAAGTTAAGAAACAAAACAATAAGAACAAACCATACATACCCAAGAACAAGACTATAGTAAAGAACTGTAATCTTGATTTATTCTATTAAATGGTCATGTTCTTCATCGAAGTCCCAAGCCTACAATACCTGGACAAGCCCAGCGAGTTGTTTTCAAAATTAACATGCTTCCTACCCATGTTCAGCTATGTCCCCAATTGCCTCATTCTCCCCACAGTGCTAAATTAGAAGCTGTGTGGGAGACAGACTTACTTTGTCATCCAATTCTCTGAACCCATGACCTCCCCACTCCTATCTTCCTTTTCGCCATCCCTGTTCTGCCTCAATTAGGGACTGGCAGATCCCCTCCCTGTTTCCATCTTGGAAAGTGAGAAAGATGTTCTCCTGCACCTCCAAAGAGAAAACACCTCCTAAGAAAGAAAAGCTTATGCAGTTTAAATCCTCACCTCTTCACAGATGAGAAGGGTGTGGGGAAAAAAAGATGTTTAAAAGAGCAGTTTTAAAAATTTAGCAATTTTAAAAATAAGCTGCTAGGAACAGGAACAAAGCAGATAAAAGTTTCCTTAGCACCAGAGAGACTTCAGTGCAGTCTAGGGCAAGTTACCCTGGAGCCTATATGGAGAAGAACCTCAGTCTTCCCATTTGTTACCTGATATGTTATCACTTGAGGGGGTTGGGATTGTGGTGTTCCTGTTCTTGTCCTACCTTCAGCAAAAAGATGTTTTGATTTGAAAACACACCATGATTTCAAGTCCTACCATACAAATCGAGGATGATAACCACAGATCATTTAAAAGAAAATTCTGACCAAGACCACAACTTTTTAAAAGAATACTCTGAGAAGACAAAGTGAGGATCCAGAACTTCTCCAAGAACAGCAGTCTTTGAAAAATGAATTCTCCACTACACGGCATAGAAGCACTAACTACATGTTAAGCCAGGGATGGACTGGTCAATTTCAAGGCTTTGCAAAGAGTTACATGGGTCTTGTCAGAAGGAACAATTTCTCTTTAGGTTCACCAAGCTCCCTTTAAAAAAAAGTGGCTACAGAAATCAGGGTTCCCTTGCAACCTGAATAGCACAGAAGCACAGACACTGAGCCAAATTACTGGGAAGAAGCTTGCAGTGCACCACAGCAAACCTGTTAAACCGACTCTATTCAAGCAGATCATCTCCTCCCTCAGCCAAGTCATCTCAAGATTCCATTCCATCTGCCTAGACTGTAAGAAAGTTTTGATGCCAGCATAAGAGTAAAAAAACCTCCTTTCCTGCCAGAATACCTATATCAAGCCTTAGTAGGGTATCTTCATACCAGCAATCCGAAGGTATGGATGAAACCTAAAAATTAAGGAAGGTATCTTTAACCCCATATTTTGTGGCTTTTCTTTGTTCTGAATTCTACTGGTAGGATGTCATCATCAGGATCAGAACCAAAACTCAAGAGTATTTAATTTGGTTGTTTTCTGTTACATTATTTATTCTTTCTCCAAATTCTTTTCATTTTAGTGGTTTCTTTGAGAATTTCTATCTCATTCACAATTTTTTTTCATTGAAATTAAATTATGCAGTCAATGCTTCCTCATGATACAATACTCATTTTGTGGCATATATCCAGGTTAGTCTTCTCTATCTCTCATAACTATAACTTTGTAACTATTCACTACAAATCACCTCCATTAATATCTGCCTGTACTGTCTTTATCCTTATCTCACAGAATTTCTTCCTCCAATGTAATAAATGGATGGAATGAAAGCAAACTCAGTAGCATAGCTTCCCCTCCTGCTAAATAAGAGATTGACAACATTTGAAACCTCCACCAAATAAATGAAGCAGTAAAGAAAGGAAAAAGTTAAATAAGATGTTTAACATATGAAGCCTTGGAATGGGCAGGCAGACAAAATATTAAAAATGTTTTGTCAAAATAAAGTAACTGCTACTAAAATGTAGCAAGAGAGTAAGACAGACAAGTGGAAACAGTATAGAGACAGAGCCAAGAAAATGCGGTGACTACTGTAATCCATAAAGCAAGCAGTGGTCCTAACCTTTGAAACCCTATCCTAAATATCAGAAATACTCACTGTTGCCTACTGAATAAAATCTACCAGACTTGTAGATGACCAGACTGAGCCCAAGGGAGGAAGTCAAACATGTCATCAGTCTCATGTCTCTTCGTGCCCACAAGAGATCTATGTCCAGCGCACCTTAAATTCCATTGACTCTTATCAACCTCTAATTTGCTTTGACCGTTGGTAGTTCAGATTCTTGTAGAGAGCATAAACTTGCAATAAATATTTATGTTTGTTTGAATCTCCTGGACTCTGATTTTTCCACACTTGACAAACTTGTCTAAAGGATGCTATGACTCTAGCCAAAGCTTAATTATAATCCATTGCATTTCATGATGTACCTACAGTATCTCTTCACAGCTCAAAATGGTAACATAGACAAATCTTTGTGGTGCAAAAGAAATGGCAGTTTTCTTCCTGGGCTTGTTCTACCATACAAACCCAGTTTGTGTCTTGAAAGAATTTACTAGGACTCTACTATTGAATTTGGACTTTCTCAATAATTATTTATTTGATTTTTATCCTGCCTTTATTACTTTTTAAGTAACTCAAGGCAACAACCATACCTAATCCTCCTCCCTCCTATTTTGCCAATAACCCTGCAAGGTGAGTTGGGCTGAGAGAGTGACTGACTGGCCAAAAGTCACTCAGCTGGCTTTCAAGGCAAAGGCAGGACTAGAACTCAGTGTCTCCTTGTTTCTAGACTGGTGCCTTAACCACTACACCAAATTGGCTCTATACATAAAATTATATTATCCAATATTATTTGCTCCAAGGGGAAAACAGCACATGATGACTTACAGCTGATTAGATTTGGCACACAAATGACTTTTTCATATTTTAATATGCATTAATATTTTAATTTGTAATATGCATAGGTATTATGCTAAATTCTCTTCTCTGCATTTTCCCAATCAGAATTCTATATGGCAGCCTTTCTTTAAGTGGAGTCAATGGACGGAGAGTCACTAAAGACTCCCTTTCTTTCCTCCTTTCCAAACAGACTTATCAGTTTGAGGAAAAAATTAATGCAAAGTTAACAGTTCCCGAGCTCTATACAAACCACTCTTTGTGTTTCAAAAGGAAGACCATGATCAGAGGAAACAGTGCTTCTATGCCAAACTCTGACCAACTGACCAGAAGGAATAACAGAGAAAGAGAAAAAGGCTGCCTCAATGTGGATTAATTCGTTCATTAGAAAGACACCAAAACCAATTTAGAGCAGGGGACCCCAACCTCTGGGCATGGGCCACTACTGGACTGTAGCCTATTTGGAATTGGGCCATGAGTAGCTGGCCAGAGTGCATGTGCGCACACAGCTCAACTTGCACAAGCAGTAGGCAAGCAGGCAATTGTGCGTGTGCACACTGGACTACCACTCACGCTTTCCCTCCCTCCCAGCCAGGTAGCCGAGTTGTAAAGGTTGGGGACCACTGGTTTAGAGCATCCCAATGCAAACTGTAGCATTTAAAGACCAGTTTAAGGAACTATTAGAAACAAGGAAATACTCTTTCTCCCCAATTTTGGTGAATATAAATGACTACACAAAATGAAATCCATATTTTAGGAACCTTTTTATATAAAAGGTTTACTCTTATATAAAAGTAAAAACAAATATATAAATGTTACCCTTCTCATTAACACTTCATGTGATCTTGATTCTATCCCTCTGTTTATGCAGCCTAGAAGCCAACACAGTTCTAGGCTGAGTAAACAGAGGGATAGAATCAAGATCACATGAAATGTTAATACCACTTTATAATGCCTTGGTAAGGCCACACTTGTAATACTGCATCCAGTTTTGGTTGCCACGATGTAAAAAAGATGTTGAGACTCTAGAAAGAGTGCAAGGAAAAGCAACGAAGATGATTAGGGGACTGAAGGCTAAAACATATAAAGAGCGGTTTCTGGAACTGGATATGTCAAGTCTTATGAAAAGAAGTACTAGGGGTGACATGATAACAGTGTTCTGATAACTCAGAGGCTGCCACAAAGAAGAGGGAGTCAAACTATTCTCCAAGGCACCTGAGGGCAGGACAAGAAGCAATGGGTGGAAACTGATCAAGGAGAGAAGCAACTTAAAACTAAAGAGAAATTTCCTGACAGTTAAAACAATTAATCAGTGGAACAACTTGCCCTCCAGAAATTGTAAATGCTCCAACACTGGAAGTTTTTAAGAAGAGATTAGATAACCATTTGTCTGAAGTGGTGTAGGGTTTCCTGCCTAAACAGGGGATTGGACTAGAAGACCTCCAAGGTCCCTTCCAACTCTGTTATTCTAAACCATGGCTTTAATTTACTTTTGACATATAGATTAAAATTTAATCATTAAAAGTTAGTGAAATATTTCTTAACCTATCCTAATTTCAATGAAATTACTAATTTTATTCATGGGCAGCTTGTACAAATACATTTATTATTTTACAGTGTCACACTATTGCAAAATTTGAAAATCCTACTATTTGAAGTATAGAATCCTACTTTTAGTTTTTCCAGGACAAAGACTTATTTTAAAATATTTTTTCACAAGAGGCCTCATGAGATCATTTCAGAATAGCCACAAAATTTTATGTATGCAATCATAAAGGGCTTTCTAATTTTCAAAAGTTTTCTTCTTTACCTGAAGTAACTCTTGACAGCTGTCAAGTCCAATATCCACAAGAATACCTTTCACTTTCTTTCGAGATCGTCTTATATTATCAAGATTTTGCACAGGAATTTGAAACATGTCAAACTGCCTGAAAGACAAAGACACAAAATAGAGGTACATTTTTCAATATAACTTCACATGTCTTATAACTGTAAAGATAAACTTTGTAGGAAGCTATATAACATCCAGAACAATTGTAAGATTTGAGAATAGAAGAATACACAATTTTGTCTTAAGTGACTGCTACAGTCTAATTTCTTTCTTGGAAAGAAGGCCTTGCTACAATTTAAACATAAACAAGGGAATTCAAGAAATGAAAATGTTTTGGAAATGGAATCCATCATGAAAACCAATCCAGAACAGCAGTGAATTAGCATATCTGGAGCTTCAATATGGGCTCAGTAGAAGACATTCATGCCCATGGTTGTTCTATATGTGATAAGTATACTTCACCCCACATCTAACCCAGATATGGTGGTAAGCCTATCTAATGAAAATCACCAAAATTTGCTAGTAACTATGGTTAGTCAAAATTAGTATATTCTTAAAGCCATCAAAAATGATTCTATCAATGATTTTAATTACTCACAAAGCTTATAGGTATTAAAAACTTAAACATATATAGAACAAAAGTGAACCATGTTATAAATTTGCATCTGTTTCCCTAGAGGCACATAGCAAAAACAGGCAGGAAGAATTGAGGACAGCTTGTAGACAATATCTAGAATTGGTATCTCCTTTGTTCCATTCTCTTTTATGCATTATGCTATTATAATGTAAACATGCATTATGAATCCCAGTTGACGTTTTCGGTTGCCCTAGGCAAAGACATATTTATTGTATCTGATCAACTTGGGGACACTTGGTGATAATTTGTCATCTTTGCAGTATGCTTGAATCACCTCAGTAATTTAAAATTACAGACATGTGGGAAAAGTAGGTTGAATTTTTTGATCTTTTTAACATATTTAATCTTCATTTCAACAATGAAGATAAAAGGGACACAGTGTAACAAATATGTGCCATTTATATTTTGTAGCCCACTGTGTGATTTAAATAAAAATAAACGTAAAGACTGCATGTGGAAAAAGTACTCCCCTACGTTTATCGCTACCTCAGATATCTAAAATTAGAATAGGATGTATGGATCAAATGCAAATGATTTGAAGATTATTAGACAGGATTTAGGAGGAACATGTCTTCTTGAAACAGACATTTAGTTTGCTTTGCTCTTTGTTGCTGAAGCACATATATCACCATGCCTAGATTGAAAAAAGTTATCTAAGGCCTTCAGAAAGAACAGATGTGTATGTCTGTGGGGAGGAATTTTAAAAGATTGCCAAACAATTGGACATCAATCATTCCACTGTCTGGAATATTATCTACAAGTAGAGAAGATTTCAAACAATTGCCAACTGGTCCAGGCCAAGCATCTCAGCAAGAACAGAAAACAAGATGCTGAAATAAGTGTCTAAGAACCCTAGAATGTTATCACATTATTTACAGGTTGTTTTTCCATTATTGACAACAAAGTGCACAATCCTATCATTAGAAGAAACTACACATATTAAATCCATGTGGGAAGTGTGTGAAAGAACATCAGGACAAGACTAAAATTTGTTCATGAACACCTAGCCAAAGACCAGAACTTCTGGACCAAAGGACTCTGGTTAGATGAGACAAAGATAAAACTATTCTTGACACAGTACCAGAAGACATGTTTGGCAAAAAACAAATATAGCATTTCACTGGAAGTTCCTGATATAAAGGTAAAGCATGATGATGGAAATCTTATGGTTTGGAGATGCTTTGCTACATCAGGATCTTTTATAATCATAGAATCCACTATGAATTATGTACTACAAGATGCTTGATGATAACTAGAAACCATCTGTCAGAAGATTGAAGCTCAACCAAAAGTGGACCTTGCAACATAGCAATGACCTTAAATATTCCAATAAATCCACAAAGTAATGACCAAATTAAAGCCATGATCTAAATCACACTGAAATGTTATTGGATGAATTGAAATGGACTAGGCAAGCAAGAAACTCCTCAAACATTACATAGCTGCATGAACTGCATGAACAAATGGTTAAAAAGAAATCTTCTCATTCAATGTCAGAGACTGGTAAACAGTGATAAGAATGCCTTACTGGGATAAGATATGTGCATTTGTCAAAATTCAATTGTGTCATTTAATTTTTACATAGATAGGACATTAAGATGTTGTGCAAGGCCTAGAATGCATGTAAAATATTTAAGGAAAGGGAGGCAGGCCCCATCCCTATCGAATCCTTTGGGCATGGATTGGCCTCAAGCTTTCTATGTCATTCTTAACCTGCCAAGACTTCCCCACTAGGACTACAGGCTGCCTCTAGTCACAGTGCCTAGTTTATGGCATTGATAAAATTCTAAGTGAAATACTAAAAGAATAAATAATTTCAATTATTATTACTACACAAGGAATGCAGGTTCAGAGAGAACCTTGTTTTAGCTATAGTTCCAGCACCTGAGGATATAAGCCATTTTGAGTTGCTTAGTCCTTCAGCAGAGCTAAAGCCATCAATTTCAAACCCCTCTTACAATACCATCCTGCACAATTATTTCCTCAACATTTAAGATCATTAATTAAAAGAACAACTTTGGGCAGAAACACAAATGCATCTACAACTCTGTAAACCAACGCTAATGGCATTATATTTGTTTTATCACTCTTATACCTCTTTGCCATTTTAGAAGAGGCTCTTAACCACCTTCAACTCCTAAAGCCTTCCTGCCCCAATCAGTGTCATATTTCCTTGCTCAAAATCTCATTTTAGAAATAAAAGATAGAAATAAGGATCCAATTTTCCCATCTCTGAACTTAAGATCTTATGGTATTTGAATTAAATCAAAGAGATTTTAAACTCTCAATTTTATATATAAGGGCAACATTATAATGTTTTTTATCAGAGTCTCTTTAAGTCTGTCTTGCAAAACCACCTCTTATATTTGGTAATCTGGAAACAGCTCTCACCTCACTTTTTCCTCCTCTGCACTTCTGTTTGTCTGGCTTTTCTTGAACATCTTGAAATCCTTCTGATCAACATTCTTGATCTACTCTGACATCACACTCAGACTTTATTAATCTGATGTGTTTAAATTGTCTAAATGGCTTAAATATCACTTAGAATTTTCCCCAGCCAGCTGCCCTCTTAAGTATGTGGGACTGCAACATTTACAGTATGCCACAGAAGTGAGTACACCCCCTCACATTTTGTAAATATTAAAGTATATCTTTTCATGTGACAACACTGAAGAAATGACACTTGGCTACAATGTAAAGTTGTGAGTATACAAAAGTTCCCAACCCCAAAACATGAATAATTTTTGCATAAATGTAGACTGAAATGCAGCTATGTGATTGTCTATTCATGCATGGAAATGTAAAGGTAAGAGCTGTCATATGCAAGGCAGGTCCGTTTGTCACGTTTATATACATACATACACACACACACACAAACATACATACACTAATTCTGGGATCTGGTAGACAATAAAATATCACGAAGAAGAAACCACCACTTGAACGACACAGACAGGTTATTTTATTCTATCCCCAGAAGCGAAAACCACTGAAGCCCCTTCCTAGTTTCTTCTCCTTGCAGGCAGAAATATAGTAAGAAGTTTTCTTGCCCCACACCGGGAGCTCCAGTCCAAACGGCAGGAGAGTTTACGGGCGTCCCGGGATCAGTTCAGTCACACAGAAACGATACCGGCAGCGGGGCTTCCCACGCGTGGAGGGAAGGTTAAAAACAAACAAAACCCAAAACTCCAAACTCATCCAAAAAGCTTCAGGCGCCCGGTGAACAAAACGAGTTCGGGTCGAGCTCCGACTTGCAGCCCGAGCAGCACCGGGGCGCAAATGCCTTGCAAGAAAGGGCGGGCCTCCTTTCCCTCCATCGCTGCCGGGAAGACAGCGAGCAAGCCCGGGGCAAGGGGTGGGAAGGGGGGGGGCACGGCCTCTGGAGCTGCCGGCAGAGCCTCGAGAAGGTGCGGCGCGCCAAGAGGTTCCCGCTGGGCGAGCGGAGTCCAGCTTCTTGCCTAACGGCGCGGGCTGCGCTTACCTGTCCCGGCTGCAGGGGGCGCCCGCTGCCTGCCTGCTCCGTTCCTCGACTGCGACTCCCCGAGGCGGGCGGACGCGTTGCAACCTCGCCCGGTGCCGCCGGCGCCGCTCCTCCTCCTCCTCCTCCTCCTCTTCCTCTTCTTCCTCTTCTTCCTCCTCCTGTCTATCTCCTATTCGGACCCTCAGTCAGCGGCCGCCCCGCCCGGCTCCGCCTCCTCGCCTCGACCTGCAGCGCGCGCTCAAGCACCTCAACAATCCGGGCAGCAGCGGCGGTGCAGCAGCATCCTTGCCTTGGCGGCGTCCAGCCGGCCGTGCAATATGGGACCCGGCTTTCCTCCGGCACCACCACTGAGCCCCCCAGCTCCCATCCACCCACCTCCGACTGCTCCTCCCTCCTTCCAGAGCCAGAAAGGGAAAATGGCGCTCGATTTGTCCCAGGAAGTGACGTTTCCCCTCATTTGCATATCAGTCAGTGGACCAATAAGGAGACGCTGGTTCCACGCCTCCCATTGGTTAATTCCATCAGCATCAACCCTGGAGGGAAGGTAGAGTTCAAAGGGTAGCTTTGGGGGATCGTGGTGAAGTCCTTCAGAGTCCTCTCCCACTTGCTTACCTGTAACCTCAACTTTCCCTCTCTTTAGTTTGGCACTTTTTCATCCCAAAAAAGTGACAAGAACAACGTGATTGGGTGTTGTGACGTCATCACTGAGGGTGTGGCGCGGTGACGTCATCCCATGTGGTCCTATCACGTGGTCGTGCAGCAGTGCTCTTGTTCATGTTCATAGAATGTTGTGGAAGGTTTATTTGCATCAGTGTATTCTTGAAAGCCCCCTTCATGCCCAACAACCAATGAAATCCATCCTTGTTAAGATGCTGTTGTTTTCCTTAGGACAAAGAAACCCCTGGACCCTTTTTTCACTAGGTGCCCATTCTGCAGAAACTCAGAAACTACTGCTTTGAAAAGATGATCCAACCAGGATCTTCTTTCCAATTCACAATATGCAGTCCTTTGAGCTTTCCTCAAAGAGCAAGGAGGCTAAAACCATCATAATGTCATGTTAAATGCCATTTAAGATTATTTCAAATGATGTTGCAAAATTGATGACAGGTTTTACTTTCCGCCCTATGGTGGATGATGAAAGCAAGCAATAATACTATCACAAATAACTTTCATGGAGAATCTCAGTTGTAAATAAATACTCTTGCTCAATAAATTGCAATTGTATGACTTTGCTCTTAGACTTTTAAAGTCTATCCAAAGAACAATCAATAATTAATTAAAGTAAATCCAAATTGCATAATATGAAATTCCATTTTCCATTTAATCGCAAACCGTTGTTTCTACTTGTTGAATGTAACATAAAAAAACCACTCATTATTATTATTTGTTTTATTTAGACTTATAGCTGCCCATTCTGAAAGAGCCATCTTCCCAAAGTATAATTTTTTTAGATAGAGCATTAAATACTGTACGTCCAAATGCAGTACGACAAGGAATATTATTATTTTCCATCCTACCTCTAATCAACAGTAATTTCACTGGTGTGAATTGGTCCAAGTAAGTGCAGTTCCATACTTTACAGAAAATATTTCCAATATATTTTTCGGTTTCTGAGATGGAATTTTAAATAAAGTAGACATCTGAAGACGATTCAGAAATGAAAATTTTTTTTGAAGGAGCTTAGGATCAAACTACATGATCACCGCTAGTATAGACTTTGTTATCTTGGGTTTTTTTTAAAAAAACCTTTTAGATCGCTTGGCTGTCTTCATTATCATTGTCCAATATATCAAACAGAAAAGATGGGTCAAGAAGAACAAGTGTACAACTTTTCAGTTTTTCTTATCTTGATAGGAGATTTGTTAAAATCGTACTGAGATAAACTTTCTGAAATAATCCTTCAGACTCTCCATACCTGTCTATTCCGCCAACTACATAAAATACTGGTGGATCATCATTAGAAAGCTGATGGCATTACCATACTTAAGGATTGCTTTCCTGTCTTGATTGCTTTCCCCTAAAATAGGCCTTCTCAGTGATGGCAGCTCAGAAAGCCTAACAGAATATTTGTGACCTTCGTGCCAAATTTACTATTTTTCTGGCATGAAAGACATTTTTATTTTCTCTTGTCTCTCAATATGTCAATATATTGCTACTTTAAGATTACTTCTCATATTGCAATGGAGTGATTTAGTTAATAATTTTGCTGATATTTTACTATTAATGACCAGTTTAGCTGTGTTTTTAATGAAAAATGTGTTTTTAATATTTTGTGAAGCTTACTGGAGAAGACAGGTTGTAAGTTTTATTATAAATAACAATATAGAAATAATTGTCAAAACAACTCAAATTCTCTTTGTACAACTAAACGTACCTGTTAGGAAATGATTTTACCTAACTTGTTGGGTTGGCAATATATAAACCATCAATATAGCTTTAAGACTGCTGTATTGCTGTGTCATCCTGTATTCTGATTGGTTAGCTCTGTAGCCAATGTCCTTAAGAGGGAGCTAGAAACATGGTTTGTTTTCTCTTTGCTGCTCTTTGACTCTCTGACTCTTTGATACTCTTTTGAATGCTCTTTGAAGCTATTTGCTGTTTGCTACTGTTTGCAACTGTTTATGTGTATGACTACAATGACTGGGAAGAAGACATTGTTATTGGAATATCCCTGGACTATTGTTTTACTATCTACTACTTTATCTGTGTATGACGTGGACTGTTTATTGGACTGTGCCTTATTACTATTCCCTGAAAGTAAACACAACTCAGTGTATCTGTGTGTTGGCTGTGTTATTTTCCTAACTACTCTCAAACACTTTCATGTGCACACCCTTGCTATTCAAGGGTTGCTCTGCGAATTCCTCAACAGTTCCCTTTCTTTTTTCCCTTACCCAAATCCCCAAATATAGAGGGTTCCCAATTCTCCAGAGCAGAGAATGAGGAAGAATTTATGAACTGTACACATATCATTGTTAAACACAAATTATTGACCACAATCTCATTGTACTAGAATGCTTTTATCACAGCACCCGCCTTATTTTGTTCTGTGCATGAAATTGAATTGTCCCAAGATCTGTACTAACATTTTGATTGATTTATGTTTTAACAAGTCAGTGTCAAATCTTAATTACACATTGTCCTTATCCAGGGTGATCTCTCCTCAATTTAGCCTTAGGATTACTTAATTTTTATTTCCTTCAGTGTTGTGCTGGGTCCTGAACATAGAAAGTTCTCAATATACTTTAGATCAGGGGTCCCCTACCTTTTGGACCTAAGGACCACCAAGTTCATAATTTTAAATCCCATGGACCACTAATACGAATCCAGCACGCCACTTGCTGAAGTGCCTGGACTCCCAGTGACAGGATGGGGTCCTTCAGGCACTCTCCCTCCTCTCTCTCTTTCTCTCTCTCCCCTCTTTCTCTTTCTCCCCCCTCTCTCTCTGATTCTCTTTCTCTCATTCTGATTCTCTCATTCTGATTCTCTCTCTCTAATTCTCTCTTTCATTCTGTCTGATTCTCTCTAATTCTCTCTCTCTCTTTCATTCTCTCTTTCTCATTCTCTCATTCTCTGTCCCTCTGTCTCTCATTCTCTCTCATTTTCTCTTTCATTCTGTCTCTTTCTCTCTGTTATTCTGATTCTCTCATCTCTCTCCCCCTTTCTCTCGTCTTTCTCTCATCTTTCTCATCTCTCCCCCTTTCTCTCTCTCTCCCCCTTTCTCGTTCTCTCTCTCTCTCATTCTCTCTCTGTCTCTTTCTCTTTCTCTCTCTCTGATTCTGTTGCTTTCATTCTCTCTCTGTTTTTCTCTCTCTCTCTCTCTCCCTCTCATTCTCTTTCTCTCTCTCATCTCATGGGCCAGCCAATGTCTTGGGGCTGAGAGGAAGTCAATCATCTCCCCACAAGATCGAGGTGCGCAGAGCACCAACAAGGGTAAGAAGAAATGCTGGCCTGATCCAGCAAGAGACAAAGCTTCGCTCCCGCTCTGGAATATGGAGCGAATCTCCATCCCCTACCCTTCCCTTCTCAGGCCAGGCGAGGAGTGACTGGGAAGGGAGGGCGAAGGGTGGGGACAGCCACTGGAAGCTACAGCAGTGGGAAGAAACAGCCCGGGGTTGCCGCTCCCCATTGCTTCGGCCCACCTGCACTGCCACCACCCCCTTGCACCATTACCTCATTCTGGATGGCGAGGGCTGCGCTGCAAAGTTGCAAGTTGCACGAACCTCCCTCTACGGCGGAGATTTACAGCCCACCGTGAGTTGTCTGGCCAGTCCCATATTCCAGAGCTCTAGTCACAGGACTGGCCATTGCTCATCCCGGAGCAGCTCCTCCACCTGGATGCGCCGTGGACCACCAAAATTTTCTCGGGGACCACTGTTTGGTGTCCACTGCTTTAGATAAGCAAAGTAATGGGACAAAGAGCATGCCAAGAACTGAGAAATGGTTTCAATATAAAAGAATATATGTGACTAATGGTATGTGGGAATGATATTCTGGGAGAAAGGAGGAAGAACTACAGACTAGGCAATAATCAGATAAGTGGCAGCTTAGCCTGCAGAAGCAATGGAGACGTGGTAAATGTCTCAGGAAGGACTGACTCTAGTTTTCTGGACTGTAAATGTGAGTGGATAGAAACTTTGTTATGTCTGAAAGTGCTTCTTGTCCGATCTCTTTTAAAAAATCATTTAAACTAACCAAAATGAAGAAATTCCAACTGATACTGTGTGCAAACAATTTAGAAAAAAAGCATTTATCCTTTCTTGTGCTTTGTGATGGATACTTGCTTTCCCAAAACTAAACAATTTCACAAATTCGTCCTTGATGTTAAGATACTAGATACATCTTCCTTTGATGTCTAAACTTGGTACAAGAAACATATTTTCTGTGATGCCTTACTCAGCAAGGAATATCTTAAAATATTCTACCAAGTTATTTAAACTTAGTTATTCTACTAAGTTATCTAAATCATTTCCATGAGTGCATTAGTAGAGATATTTTATCCACAGGAAAAATCTACAATCCAAGGTTATTGTTTACAATACCACTTATATCTATTTTATAATATTGTATTCCAGAATACCATGTTTCCCCGAAAATAAGACCCTGTCTTATATTTTTTTGAACCCTGAAATAAGCACTTGGCCTTATTGCCATGCGCTTAAAAGCCTGATTGTGCTTATTATCAGGGGATGTCTTATTTTGAGAGAAAGAGGGTTCATGAATGGCACCTAAGATATGTTAATTTCCTTCCAAAAGTGCTGTTTCAAAAGGCAACTGGACTTTCTAAAGAAAATCTTTTGAAAAAGCACCTTTTGGACAACAATGACCTGGATGACGGAGACTCTACATAGACAGTTAATTTCCTTTAGTGCCTTAAATAAGACTTGCAAGAATAGCTTTCCCTGTTTACCCCTAAGTAATTCTTTCAGCCTGTTGTGTTTTGTTTTTAAGAATACACCCTTCAACAGGGTAAAATAAGAGAGGAAAGGGGAAAATCTTCATGAATCATAAAGGAAGTTGCCAAAATCAAAACCAGGATAAGAAGCCTTCTTTTACAACTTCAGTTACAAATTCACTAGATTATCTGTAGTATGATTTTCAGAGCATTCCACAGATGACTAAAAATTTACTAAAACTTAAAATGAATTTCGCAGATTGACTTTTTTTCTAGAATGTAAGATACCAGACTTGATCAGAGAAGAAAGCTTATATGGAATGCCATTGAGACCCTCATTAAATTATGTAAATAAGGTGAAACACACAATAAAATCTTTAAAGCATCTTTATTTATTTTTTTTAAAAAATAGTTAGGTTTAGTCAAAGATCTGTTTCATTTTATCAGAATAGCACCAGGGAAACATGATTGTTGAAAATGAAATCTGAAAATAGAAAAATAACATCTGAAAATTATCTAGTCAGTTTAATAGTTCTGTTGAATTGTCACACTTTCCTATTTTCTTAATTGGGGTAGAATTTTCCAGATAGGAAGGTTCCTGAAGTAAATAAGTTGCTACCAGTGCAGCGTAGATCTCAAAATTTAACAAAATTATACTTTTGTACCCTTATTTCAGTATTATTTATGCATAAATATAAATATCCATATATCCATATATCTTTATTTCTCTATTTACTTGCTGGAAAAATACTGTTGAAAGAATTCCTTCCTTATAGTTTGTTCCTTGCTCAGGTCAAAACTCCACACACCAGAATTCAGAATTCCAAATTTTTATTTAGCACACAAGGCAAAATCACTGAGCACTGAGGGCAGTCAACCTCAGGGAGGGATAGAACATTTTTTATAATCAGGTGTAAAAGTTATCGGTGCACATCTAGTTGTAAAATTTTCAGGTTTTATTTTCCTAATAAGGAAGAGCCTAAGTCCATGATGGCGAACCTATGGCACACGTGCCACAGGTGGCATGTGGAGCCATATCTGTGGAAAAGCGAGCATTGCCCTAGCTCAGCTCCAGCGTGCATGTGCGCGCCGGCCAGCTGATTTTTGGGCCTTCCAGACCCACCAGAAGTCAGGAAACGGGCCATTTTCGGCCTCCCCAGGCTCCGTGGGGGTGGGGAAGGCCGTTTTCGCCCTCCCCGGGCTCCAAGAAAGCCTCTGGAGCCTGGGGAGGGCAAAAAACAGGCCTACCAGGCCCACCGGTAACCTTTTTGCCGTCGTGTGCCAAAAGCGAGGGGGGGCATTGAATTATGTGTGGGCATGCACGCATGTGACCCCATCGCATGATCCCCACTTTTGGCACGCGACAGCAAAAACGTTAGCCATCACTGGCCTAAGTTGTTACTTTCTAACTGACATACCTTATCTCTGTTGCCAAGAACATAACATTTGTCCTTACATTCCATTCTAATTTAACTACACTGCTTTCTTGCTATTGTGCAATGGCAAAGAAATAACTCCCCTTCTAACATGGCATTAGTTTAGCTTTTTAGAACTACTTTCTAACATACCTACTTGAAAATTGTAGGAGTATCCCTAGGAAAGAATCATTTCCATATACGAACAACAGATATCATTTATCAAAGTAGATGCCTCATTTTCCAGAGGCATGTGGTTCTGAAGAGTGATATATGAAACTTGAGTTATTTCATCTTGTAACTTCAATACAGCATTGGTTGTGGCATTTGCAAAGATACTGAGCTGTTTACCAGTGCCTTTTCAAACTCTTATCCCAAGGATCAGCCAGTGAGCAAATGTGAAAATTGATCAGCTTTTCAATAAACAGTTGGCACTTATTTGAACCTACGGACCCTATTCCGATGTTACCCCTTCAACCCATCTTGAGAAAGGTATGTAACACATGACATAGTAGAGGTTGTTTGCTGCCACCACACACATTCTCTGCCCCACCATCTCCCTTTAGGCTATTCACAACAGGACAAATAATAGATAGTGAGAACCACTAAGAAATAAATCAAATACAGTATTGAACATAGCCAAAACTGGCCACTGCAGAAAGCAATGAAGTTTATAAAGAAGGGATTATCACTGAATGAACTGCTGGTATCACTCAAAGAGGCTGGCAGTTGTCCATTCATCTGTCCAAGCATGCTTTAAAGTCAACAGCTGTACTTCTGCTGGGCTGTGGTCGATCACAGCTGGTTTGAGTATGATATAGAAAGACCTCCTTTCTAATAACTACTTTCTAACTTTTCCAAAGTTACATAATTGTTATATGATCAGAGAGGCCAGCCTTACAGGAGAGAGTTCAATGAAGGAAAAGAGTCAAAGCACATAATTAATATCTCCTTCAGTTACAGTTAAGTAATGACAAAAATAGGAAGAGTTGAGTGATGTGATGAGTTACAGTACTTAGACTAGTTTGGCTTCTGAAAAATGCTTGACAAGTTACAAAGCAATGTATATGGATTTTTTTTAAAGTATGTTGTATTAGAGTTCCTTTGGTTTGCTAACCTCTACCAACACTTTTCATTATTAAACCAAAAGATTCAATTATTTTTCCTTTGGGGACATCTCTGTACTGAAGCCCCACTAATCAGGGATAATGAGCATTCAAAGAAGAACAACCTAAAGCTTCAATTTAACTTGTTTTTGAGATATACAGTATATGTAACTAATATATCTATCTATTTGGAGGATCTACAAATAGCACAGGTGAGAAAGTTCTCTTGGGAGAACAGTCCACTGGACAGTCAAATATTCAAGCTGTAATCTTCTAACACAATGCATCATTCATGATTGGGGAGGGGGTCCTCACCCTTTCTTCCAGTCCATGCATTTGACCAGTCTAAATTTGGCTCTAAATTTGGAGCAATATTGTAAGATGGAGGATATGGGCCAATCAGCATCCCACTTGTATATACCTTTTCTATAGCAGATATAGAAATATATTGATGCTGGCACTTCATATGGTTTCTAAATGGGGACGTGGCCAGCATATATGTAAGGGTCAAGAGCAGGGGTCTGCAACCTTAAATATACAAAGAGCCATTTGGACCTGTTTCCCACAGAAAACACTGGGAGCCACAAAACCTGGGTGGGCGTGGCCAACTCAATGTCACTCACTTCCACCAGTCACATGACACCCCCCCAGCCATGCCTACCCTGCCGATCATTAGGGCAGAGAACCAGTTGTTAAAAAACACTGGGAACCACAAAATCCTTTTGACATATCTCTCTCTCCCCTCCCCCCCTCTCTCCCCCTCTCTCTGTATCTGCCCTGGTTGCTTCTCCATCCCCCGCCATCGCCCTTACCTTCTCAGGCCAGGCGAGGAGTGACTGGGAGGGGAGGGTGAAGGGCGGGGCCAGCCAATGGTGGGATCACCTGACAGGGAGCCACAGCAGAGGGCCCAAAGAGCTGCATGCGGCTCTGGAGCCACAGGTTGCTGACCCCTGGTCAAAAGGAACATCTACTGAAATTTAACAATGCTCCATTCTCAACCCATGAAGTGTTTTAGGTATGTCCGTATACTTATTAGATGCAATTTTCCCTATCAAAAGGTCTCTAGCTTTCATTTTGCAGAATAATTCTGGAATTGTCTTATTTCATTGCCTAATTATATAATAGAAATCAAGATAAACTGTATGCCTTTTTCTTGGAATCCGTATCTTTCCTTGAAATCATGGATTAGCAAAAAAATAAGAGGCCTAGCATCAGGATTCATATCATTTCTGGAAAAAAAATGTCATGGTAAATGAAGAAAAATTATTTATTTTGATGCCTTCAAGTCAACAGTCCTGAAAAAAAAAACATTTAAAAAGCCACTTTTCTGCTTTTTCCAAGCAAAGTGTAAATAATGCAGTGTCTGAGTTAGAGATTGTAATGGAGCAGACGGCTGTGTTTTAACCATTGCAAGCATTTTGGAATGCTAGATTATTCCTTCTAAATCCGATTTCAGAGATATGAATTGGCATTCATCATAATAGGTGGTAAACATTGCACCTCTCTTAATAAATCTAAATAATAAAATTCCAGTTAGTCTTCAGCAATCTCTTTTCAAAGGAAACTAAACCTGAGTAAGAAACTACTTCAAACATCTCACTGCTCAGAAAACAAGGTACAATATGCAACAGAATCAGTACAAATTGAAAACAGTATGTTTAAATTCTTATGATCTAAGTTATTTTATTTCCTAAAAGAAGGCATCTTACTTTAGAAATGCATTCAACATTGTTTTTTTAATAAGGTGAAAACAGAATGGTGTAAATTTAAGGTTTTTTTTTGCTACATTATATATGGAAGGGATTTTTGTTCAAAAATGAAGTACTACAAAGATACAATTGAAAGAGGATGGATGCAGCAGACGTTATGTGACTTCTTTGCTACCATTTTGAAAGAATAACTACATGACCCCATGGTCTTTAAACTAAATTAATATTGTGGATAGGAAGTTTTCATCTTGGCACTTGGGTTGTATTATAAAAGGGAGACCCACTGGTCGTATTTCTTTTTCTTATGGTTATTTACAATATCAGTTTAGTCAGCTTCAGTTTTCAGTTATGTGTTGTGTTACATCACTGACACCCTCACATGAATTAACATCTACATGTACATGGCCACAGAACATTTGCAACAAATGAAGATTACTTTTTCTGAGTAAACATCACATTATTAAGAAATAACATGAAAACATTATTAAATTTGAATCATGTGATTAAAAAAAGCTATTTAGACATAACAATTCTTTTTGGTTCCCTAAAACTGCATGCAGGTTATTTTATTGCCAAACTGTTGTTTGTGTATGTGTATGCCAATACACTATTATCTCCACAAGCTTCATACAGTTAAAATGGACAAACTATTTTCTTATAAAGTATTAAATGTTTTACATTAAAGGACGTGTAATACTGCAACTATTTTAAAGTATTTCAATTAATAGGAGATAAATGCTTTTCAGTTGCAGTTACAGAAAGAAAACAATTCAGACACACTTAAAGCCAACGTTAATATGATATTTGTAGTGTGTAAACCAAGAGCAGATATTTCAGGCAAAATTATACAGAGCCAACCTAAATATGTCATTAGAACAAACCCATTTGTCATTCATGTTTTTGAGAACAAACATCTGGTGGAATCCCATTACTGGATCATTGTCCACCTACAGTGAGAGAATACAAGCTTAATGTTAGTGATTTAATACATAAATAAATTCCACACAATAATTTAAATATGATAGAAAAATAGCAAGAAAATGCATTCGTTTTGAAGCTCACCGATTTCAACAAATACATAAAAAGGATTTAATGCTATTGATAAGATTGTTCTGGATTTGATGTCATATTTTGATAAAGCTAGTGTATGCATTATATTGCAACTAACATACTTCGAGAAAAATACTATACAACAGTTAAATACACTCTGGATGCCTTAATATTCGCGCTTTTCTGTTAAGTCTTAGAAGCTTTGAATAGATCTTAACCAAAGATAAACAATAATAAATTTCACCTTCAATTGGCCAACAACCATACTAAGGATACAATTGTCAGGAGCTGGTTGATGATCCTGGGATGTTATATTATGCTGAATTTTTTGGAAAGGAAGCGTCTGTTATCAAAAACAAAAACAAAAAAAACATTAAGCCCTAAAATACCACATATTCATAGAAAACAAGGGAGTGCACAAGGACTCTTATCTGGCCTTCCCAATAAGAAGCATTTTTCAAATAATTATTTAAAGTCACTGCATGAAATGTTACAGATAACATTAATCAATTATGTATTTTAGCTGATAAATAACATACCATCAATTTTTCCATAATTGAAGCTTTTCCTTGGAACTGCTGACCTTCCCAAGACAAACAGGAAGCATCTGTCTGTGAAACAGGGATATATTTCAGTAACACACATAATGAAATTATCAAAGGAAAAAAAATATACAAATAAATTATCACAGATTTAGACTGATAAATATTTTTGCAAACTCCACATGGGCTTTCAAAAATCTCAGATCTAGGCACAGATCTAGTCTTAGGCAAGAAATTCTCAATGAACTATCCACCTACCCTCCCAAGAACTTTTGCAATATTTTCTACATAATGGACCTCGGAATGATAGATAAACATGATTCTTATCAGAACCTGTCAAGAGAAGGAAAGGAAAGAAGGACCTGGAGAAAGAGGAGATACCAAAAAAGAAAACAGAAACATATGTACCAATATCCATTTTTTTGCCACTGACATCTTCAATGGACATCTCCATTCATCACTTGACAGAAATTTCTTAAAAGTTTAGCCTATACGTCCCTGTCCATAAAATAAAAAAAATGTCCATTCTGGTTTCTAGATTTAATCTCCATTTTGCACATTCACAGCGTTAATGGGAGCAAAGATTGTGTAGCAGCAAAAGGAATGCTAATATAATGGACATGAACCGAAAGCCATAAAAAGGAGTTGGATTTCAATCCAAACTAACTCAATCTCCCAGAGCACCTAGTAAGTGCTCACCAGTCATGCCAACCCCAAAAACGTGACTTATAAACACAAAGGCCAAACTGCCTATTGAGAACAAGCTTCCAAACTTCTACTCTGGCCAGCATGAAGCAAAAGAACTTAAAAGTGAAGCAGCTACAGATAGCCCTCAATTTATGACCCTAATAGAGCCTACCTATTATACTCATAACTCTTGATGGTCATAAAGTAAGTTATTCATGTGACCAATCAATTATACAATCTCTCTTGTGGCTAATTGTTAAGTTATGGGGTATTTTTGGCAAAAAAAAGAGAGGAAGTTTTCAGCAAAAACACTGTAAATCATGGTCATATGACTACAGGATGCTGCAACTGGCTATAAATGTGGGCGCCTTGCCCAATGCCCAAAACGTGTTCATATGACTGCAGGGGGAGAGGCTGGGCTTCAGAATTTCTGAACTGGGTGCAATACCTTTGGGGGAGGGTATCTTCTGTAATTTCAAACACTTGCTGAGAATCAATCATAAATCAAGGACTACCTGTAATTGTTTTCCATCAACTTTGCTTGAAATTGCTCAATTAATGCCTTGGTTGAGAATTAGGCCTTTGAACTACAACTTTTGCTGCTTTAGTAGAAACAACAAGCCCTCAAGACAATAATCCATTCATTGCATCTACAGGATAATCACTGTTCGAGCAAAGAGATGTTGATACATACATAAAGGGCACCTAATTGTTCCCTATTGGTATCAAACTGTTGATAATACAGCTGTACAAAACTTGTTCCAATTTGCTCCCACATAGGTCTTTCTGCCATTTTGCAGACCTGCAAAGAGAGAGAGTGAAAAAGGACATTCTTTATTACTAAAATGGAAATACCGGTTGAAAACTAAGCAAGGTAATTGCAACTTCACCTTATGTAGAACCAAGTCTGCTGGTATAAATGTACTTAAATGTCTTTCAATCATACAGAATTTAAATGAACTCAATTCAGCTGTCCATCTGCATTTAAAAGACACAGGCCACTCTTTTGAAGACAAGTCCATATTTTGGAGAGAGGATTGTTGGTTTGAAAGAGGCCATCAATGTCAAAATTGAACAGTCCTCTCAACAGAGGGGGAGGGATAGGACATCATCTATCTCCAATCTACAACACACTCCTTTCAACAGTTCCAAGAAGGCGCCACACCCATTTGCACCACTCAGGTGACCCTGAGGACACAGATAAGCCTCCAGGTGACCTTAACTACTTGCTAAATGAATGCAAATGACCAGCTGTCTGCAAGAAGTATAAATCCTTCCATTCCCCACCATCCAGTCAGAGCTGAAGAAGCTTCTTGGATGAGAAGCAAAATGTCTTCAAAGAAAAACCAGAAAGTCCAGTGGCCTCTTGAAAAAAAAAAAAAACCTTTGGGACAACCATGTCCTGGATGACTGAGAATCTCCATAGATACTGAACATGGCTTGTTTTAATTCTGGATTAGTAAGAAGCCCATAGTCATAAAATCAGAGTCTTGGTTTGTGCATTCTCTGTTCTAAGCCTAAACATATGAATATATTTTCATCCAGGGCTTTTGAGTATTTTAATCTTCAGTATTTGTTTTGATTTTTGATTCATGCTTACTTTCCTTACTTTTTTAAATGGCATTTGTTATGTCATGATTTAACCACCCAGAAATGTTAAAATGGCAGTGTATAAATTGTCTAGGTAAATCAGTATGTCGAGTTTGCTTATGCTTAATAAATGAGCAGAATATTGCAATCTGTAAAGGATAATTTATGGCCACTGGGAAACGTGAGCAATATTTTCAATTCCCAGGTTCCTTTACTCTCATTTTTTTCAATGTAGCTGAAATTTTCTCCAGAAATTGTGGGCAAGATTCCCGGAACCTTGTAAAATGTGTCAATGTTCTCAGATTTCAATCAAGTTTAGTTTTAATTTGGGGAGAGTACAACAGGTGGTATTTTATGACATATTGGATTCCCTGGCTCTGCTCTATTGCTGATCCTTGTAGGCTAAATCCTATGCTTCACATGGAGAGTTTGGAAATCAAACATCTTCATAGGTAGTTGCTGAGACTTTTCCAGAAGACTTCAGTTAGGTCAAGCCTGCCATCTCCCAACTAACTGGTTCTACTGTCAAAATATCCTTAATGATAAAGACATTTCTCCAAGTTTCAATCAAAAGCAAATTTTCTATAATTAGTCTACTGGATTTACTTCTGCACAAGAGCTGCCTGCTTTTTATCTAACTGAAAGAGGCTAGGCTGTAACTGCAGTGAAAATGCAGCTACAATTAGTAAATAAGTGATAAGGTTTTCAGGCTGGGATGCTTTATTAATCTTTCCTTTCTTGTTTTATTATCTTCGTTATTGCTGATCTTTGACTGTATTGATAAAAATTAATTTGAAGAATCATACTACAGGCCCTCAATATTTGCTCAATATATATAATCCATTTTTTTATAGATAAACAATAAATCAAATCTCTTGTATTAAAATACTGGCAACCAGATCACAGCCTAGAATTACAACAATTAATATATAAACTCTTCCATTATAACACCTAAATGTGAAAGGAAAGGGTTGCTCAAAATCCTGTCTGCAACTGGACCAATTTAACCATAAGTAAGCCTATCCGTGTCTTATGAAGCTCATTCTCACGCTGTTATAATTATTTAGTTGAAAGTAAATTCCAATACCCTGCAACCAAGTTTACTATTACAGCGCTGGTAGAATTCCTACGTAGGAGTAAATCCCATTAAACCCAGTAGGATTTCATACTAAAACGTGCACCCCACTGTGAAGAAGCTGTAGTTCCACTGGATTCACACTTCCCACAAGACTTTGGCTTAGCATGTTGAAGGAACAGAAATAACGGGTTTGTTCAGCAAACCCTTAGCTGCACCATACGAACCCCGCTATAAACCTGACAAATAATTCCCAGTGAACACAATAGGGTCAGATCGGAGTAAATAAGTGGGGGAAAACAAACCGCATAATTTACACATTTTGGGGAGGGGGGGAATGGGAGTGGAGTCTATTAACTTGAGTCTCTGTGCCACACGCTTCTTCCAAAGAACAAGCACTTTTCCGTTAATCCTGAAAATACACGCTATCCCTGAATTTGCGTGTTAGCGATCCTATTTCCTAGAACCATTCTCTGAACGCCGGGGGTGGGGATGCCTCTTCTGGAAGCAACGGACTGCACCCCCCCTCCACCCCACCCGTTCTTCGGCGGAATCGTTTCCCCGGATGAGGCTCAAGCTCCCTGGGGACGGGAGGATGGTTTGCAACTGGTGGAGGCAACCAAACTCCTTGGCGCCTAGAAAAATATTGCAGGGTGCGGGGAACGTTAAAAGCAGAGTCTCAAAGGTGCTTTTCCCCAAAAGGCAACTAAGTAAGACGATTCTTTTTCTCCTTTAAAAAGTTTCGCTTCTCCTCCTGGATGAGAAGCAGAATTTTTTTTTTTCAAAGGAAAAGAAAACCAAGAAAATCCAGTTGCTTTTTTTGGAAAAAGCACCTTTTGGGATTAAGCATGACTCGCATGATTGAGAATCTCCATAGACAGTTGGAAGCAGCGTTTCTCAAACCTGGACGCTTTTAAGACGTGTGAATTCTGGAAGTTGAAGTTTATCCATCTTGGTGGCCAAGTTTAAAAAAACAAAAAAAAAAACCCTGCTTTAAACCTTTCAATGTCACGGCAGGCAATTGTACTTTTCTCGGTTGCTGTTTTATGGAAAGCCACAACAAGCTATGCAGACCTCCCCGAATCCTGCACCCACGCCGCCGTTTGCACGCCAATCATTCAAAGGCACCACCAAACTCGCTCGAACACGTTGTAGACCTGCGCCTGAAGCCTCCGGAGTTGCGATCTGCTTTTATCCTCGCCTATCGCCAGCACCCTGCGGAAGAAGGGGAAATGGGGCGCTTCCCTTGGATTCGGGGGAAGGATTCAGCCACCGAGTGCACCGGATCGGCTGGGAAGCGCAAAGAGATCTTTCAGAAATGGGAGCACGCAAGCTGGGCATGAAACGCACACGAGATCGGAACGGTGCCGCTGCCCCCATCCCCGCTATTTGTGGCTGGGATGAGTAAGATACGGAACGAAGTCACGTTAGGAGATGCAACTCACAGGGAAGGTTAACTCTGAAAATCCAGAGCCGCAAAATCGCGCAGACAACTTTCTTCCAAGTTTGTCAGCCCATCTGTCTATTAAAAGTCTGGGTCAGTAGCCTTAACGCTCGACCGCCAGCAGGTGGCGTCCCGGGCGAGCGGCAGAAATCGGATACGTCACGCCTAGTTCATCCAATGGTGGCCTTGAGCGCCAGTTCTTAAATAAAAGTACTTCGCAGGCGGGACGTTTCCGTTTGATTTCGGTTTCAGCCGGAATGGCTGCTGCAGTAGTAAATGAAGTATCAGTTGTATAGTCTCGAAGATCCGTTGAATTCAGTCGAGCATGTGAAATGGAATCTCTTGGTTTGCAGATTTAAAAAAATGTACGTTAAGAGTTAGTGTCATTTTTGGAGTAAATTGGAGTAGAAGGCGGCATTTTTGGATGCAGTTATACTAAATGCTAGTTGGTCAGAAAAACCGAGATTTTGGAATAATGCTTGATCATTGCTTCCAACATAATTCCTGCAAGCTGCAGAAATGCTACCTAGTGAATGTATCGTTTTTACAATTATATATATTGCACCTTGTTTTCTCTAGATAGTAATTAGAGTACTGGACAGGTAGTCCTCGATTTGCAACCATTGATTTAGTAACCTTTTGAAGTTACAACAGCAATGAACAGTGACTTACGACCATTGTTCACATTTATGACTATTGCAGCATCCCTGAGATCAAATTGTTTTTTCATCACTCTTTTAGAAATAATACAATAATAAATAAAGTTTGCTACTTCTTACATACCATCTGATCTACATCTGGGAGAATGGTTGATGTCATTTGCTAGAACTTTCCTTCTGGAATCTCACTGGGCAAAGGAATCTTGCAGTGCCTCCGTGAAAGATGGATAATTTGCTGTTTTACACAATTTGCCCGTTAGAAAACCGCTCAACATGTATTGGTAAAAAGCAAAGATATCTTCATGTTGAGTTCAACTCCTAGTATCTGTATGAATGAAGCCCTACAACATTCTGGACATTATGATGGAGATTGTTTGCCCTTGTTTTTTTTAAAAGTTGTTTCTTTTTAAGAAACAGCTTCTATCCCAGGGAAATAACCATATTGAATTCTACAGTATAGTGCAATATCGGGTTTTCAATTTCAATTATATAGAATGTAAAGGATGTATGTTTGTGTTTTTATTTTTATAGTTATAATATACACTGAAGACAGCATTTCATTTCGTTGTACCATGTGCAATGACAATAAACTAAACTAAACAACTAGCAAGTCAGACTATACATTAAAACAAGTTTACCTATTGATTTACAGGTAGTTCTTGACTTACAACCATTTGTTTAGTGACCATTCAAAGTTACAGCAGCACCAAAAAAGGGACTTATGACCGTTTTTCACACTTACATCACCATGGTCACATGATCAAAATTCGGGTGCTTGGTCACTGGCATATATTTATGATAGCTGTAGTTTCCTGGAATCACGTGATCTCCATTTGTAACCTTCCCAACTGGCTTCCGGTAACAAAGTCAATGGAGAAACCAGATCTGCTTATCAACTACATCAGAGGTGTCAAACACAAGGCGTGCGGGCCAGATCTGACCCGCGATGTGGTCTGATCCAGCCCACAAAGCTGGCCTGGAAAAGGGTCCGGCCTGTGTCACTTCGGCCCAGTCTACCCAATGCGAAGAGGAAACATCAGGCCAGTGTCGCTTCAGCCCAGTCTACCCAATGCAAAGAGTTAAAATGCCAGCAGTTTGGGGAGTGGCATCAAGCTGGCCATGCCCACCCAGTTGGCCACACCCACTGTCAGCCATTCCCAGTGAGTGGCGTCAAGCTGGCCACACCCACCGTCAGCCATGCCCGCCTGCCCCCCCCCGAGGTCAACCACAGCTCTAATGCGGCCCTCAATGAAATTGAGTTTGACAGCCCTGAACTACATGATTCGCTTAACAACTGCAGTGATTCGCTTAACAACTGTGGCAAAAAATGTAATAAAATGGAGCACAACTCACTTAAGTGTCTTGCTTGTCAATGGAAATTTTAGGCTACATTGTGGCTGTAAGTCAAGTCCTATCTGTATTTTTTTTAGAGCTCTTCTAAGTCAAAAGATTCCACCAGGGTTACAGCAGGTTAACAAGTCAATTTTAATAAAACTAATCAAAGGCTGGCAGAGTGGGATATAACAGCAAACTATAGTTATATAAATAAGGAAAAGGGGAAATGAATCATAAAGGAGGGGAGAAATGAGGGAAACTTCAGCTGAAATATATGCTCCATTCAACAAGACGACGATTGAATGTTTTATAATGGGGTTGTTCAAACAGATCCATAGTTTTATAAAATTCATTTAAAGTTGAGAGTTCTACTTTTCTTTTTCTAATTCACTGCCATCTTCCTTTGGCTGGTACTCTAGTTCCTCATTCTCTGAATATGAAACTTCACTGTCCCAATAATCTTTACTGTATTTCTCCATCAAATACGCCTCAGGATTAAGGTCATCATTGTAAGTTTTCCTAGCTTTCTTCCTCCTCATTTTCTTTTGATGTTGCCGTATCTCAGCCAACTGTGTCTCTAGTACCGAAGTCCCTTCCAGTACCGCCTTCTTTTTCATTTTTTTGTAATCCATTATTTGCTTATTTAATGCTTTATGATCAATTCCAAATAGATTTGTGTGGATGGAGGGCTCCCCATGGGTATCAGCCACGATGGATTTTTCCTCACTGCAAGAAATGGAGTAAATAATGACACAGAAAGGCCTAAGATATCTCATGTTTGCGTATATTCTTGCTTTTCCTTATTCCTTGCAATTTGTACCGCTTGGGGAAGTGTCTCTTACCCTCCCAGAGTTTTTAAGTCATCCCTGTAGTTAAAAGAGGGGATAACAATAGAAAAACCATGCTGCCTTTCAACTGCACAACTGGAAATTTCTAGTCTTCTAGTAAAAGGCATTTTAATAGATAAAGGTACTCCTCGACTTACAACAGTTCATTTAGTGACCATTCAAAGTTACAGCGGCACTGGAAAAAGTGAACATTTTTCACACTTATGACCATTGCAGCCTCCCCACGGTCACGTGATTTACATTTGGATGCTTGACAACTGTCTCATATTTATGATGGTTGCAGTATCCCGGGGTCATGTGATCACCTTTTGCAACCTTCTGACAAGCAAAGTCAATGGGGAATCCAGATTCACTTAACAACAGTGTTCATTAATTTAACCACTGCAGTGATTCACTTAACAAATGTAGCAAGAAAAGCCGTAAAGTGGGACAAACCTCACTTAACAAATTTCTCGCTTAACAACATAAATTTTTGGCTCAATTGTGTTTGTAAGTTGAGGACTACCTGTATTAAGGATATTTTTTCACTAGCTCAGGATTGCACTTGTCAGTACTAATTTACCTGAAATCATTCTGAATTAATTCATTTTCTTCTTCTTCAGGCCCCATGTCAGCAATTGCCAATAATTTCTCAACCTGTAACAATGTAAAAAGAAAGAAAACTCTAAAATTGTCCAGAAATAAGACTGTTCTGTCAACAATCAGAATATAAATAATAAATTCTAAATCCCATACATTTTGTGTGTTGGCTTCAAGCATAACACGTTAAAAGGAAGACTTCCACTTATTTTGAAAATATTTTCTTGTGGTCAATAGAATTTTTTCAAGGCTCACAAAGAAATGAAATCTCTATCATTTTATGGAAATAATTAAACATATTAAGAGTTTTTGGGAAAGTTGTGGGACCTCCAGAGGAAGAAATGGTAGACTGAAGATGATTGTTGCAGAATGAAGAGTCAGTGAGTAGAATGGCTCTTCGATACTTCCTTTCCAAACAAGGGGAAGGCTTGAGATCACCTACAAATGCTCCAGACAGCTGCTCTTCTCAAGAAGAACACAAAATAGCAGTCTTCAGCATGCTTAGAGTTTTGGGAAATGAGAGATCAACTGCCATTGGTACTTTAAAGATGCTGTATTTGCATACTTTCCTTTGTAATCGTTTTGTAGGAGATGACCAGACAGGGCCCAAGGGAAGGGTTAAGTGCATCATCAATTTAGAATCCCTTCACGCTCACAAGAAATCTAAGTCCAGCTTTCCTTGAAATCCGTTGACTCTTATCTATTATCAATTTGCCTTGATTCTTGTTTAGAGGTAACATGACATAAATTTGCATTCATTTTGGACCTTATTCCGATTTCGTGCACCTGACACACTTTCAGAAATTGCTGCTTTTCAGCTATTAGAAATATTTGGGGTTGACAAGTTGATAACAACAGATGAGTTTCCTTCAATCCTTAATGAAAAAAATTTTAACTACAAGTTGAAGAACTTAAAAAAAAGGGATAAACAGCAAAAAGGTGATTAAAACCTTGATTTTAAAAAGTTCAAATAGACTAAGGATTCTTTTTGGAATTAATTATAAAAAATCCTCTTTGTGGGAAAATTCTTTTTGTTTTATTTTTTTTTTAAAAAAAACAAGGTTTAATTCCCTAAGATTGAATTGAAAGAATGGATTAGTAAAAGAAAATCAGATATATATATAGGAAGACTGGAAGAACAAGATAAAGAATATAACACAACTAAAGAACGTTTTAGCAGATATTAAATTAAATTGGTTGAATTTAATACAATTAGAGAAATGGATAAAAGTAGAAGAAAGATTCAAGGAGAAAGATAGACAGTTAACAAAATTTGAAATGATTATAAAAGAATGTGAAGTGAATGAAGAATATATAGGTAAAGGAAGAATTGGGAATATATATAGAATATTAACTGAATTAGAAGAGCTGGCAAAAAGTTTAAAATTAATTTGGCATCAGATTTAGGAGAAATAAATGATAATGATTGGAAAAATATTTGGAATAGAAGAGTATATAAGAATATGTCAGAGTTAAGGAAAATGGATATAAAGTGATATGGAGGTGGTACTTAACATCACATAAACTAAATCAAATAGATGGTAAATATTCAAATATTTGTTGGAGGTGCAAGAGAGAGGTCGGAACATATAAACACATGTGGTGGGATTGTGATAGTGCACAAAAATATGGGACATGGTGTTTAGAGAAATTAGAGCATTTTTGAATGAGAATTTAGATATGTCACTGAGAATTGCATTATTGTTGCTGGTGGAACAATGGGATATAAATGTAACAAAAAAGAAATGATTGCAAATTTGATAATGGCAGCTAGATTAGTGATGGCTAAATATTGGGGATGAAATTGGGATATTCAAAGAAATGAATGGTATAAAGAAATTTGGAGTATGGCAACAAATGATAAATTACCAACAGAAATTAAATTTAAAAAAGGGATGATTAAAACAAACAATTATAATGAAATATGGGGGAATTTTATAAAATCAGTGTGGGTGGAAGGCAAAGGGAATAAACCTACTCAAGAATATATGTTTTTTGGGAGGGGATAAGGGCACAATTAGAATATATTGTATATCTTTTAGCTGTTATAGAAGAAGAAATATAAGGAGAAAATTGTCTTGTATTTAGATGTGTATGTATATGTTCGTATTGTTTGCATTATTTGTATTTAAAATAAATAAATTAACAAAAAAAGATAATAAAAGAATAACTGGAGAAAAAAACATAAGGTTTTAAAAATTGAATACTTGAGGGTACTAAATATTATAATGAAAGGAGAACACATAAATGACTTACAGCTACAAAATAAGGCAAAATATTCTAAATTTTTAACATATTGAAGGATATTTTTGAAGAACGGACTCAAAAGTTAATAGCGTCAGCAGAAACATCTGCCTCTGACAATGTCTGGCAAGACTGAGACAAAGTTGAATGGATTTATAAATGCCAGGCTACAAGAATGACATGGAAAAAGATGCTATCCTGGACATACAAAAGAAATAGGCTGATATTTTAACAATTACGAGGGATATACAAATAACAAACCAAGAGGATCATTTTCTTTTTTTGGATTTACAAAAGAGGGAGGTTTGTTAAGTTTTGAAGAATCTTATGAGAAGGGACAAAGAAAAAATGAAAAGAAATGAAGTTCTAGTCTAGAATATTATTTAAAAGGATTAAAAATTAAGATTGTGTGAAATTGGTGTATTTGATCTAGATTAAAATAGGTGTGTTGTTATCTCTATAATCCTTAATGGATTTTTATTGACACCAGGACTAAAATGACAACGTGTTATGGATGGCTTTATGGAAAGAAGAGATCCTTTGTTGTATTTTAAGAGAAGGGGAAAGTCATTTCTTTATATATTTGTTTTCTTTTCCTTAACTACATGCTTACTTTTCTCCTTTTCCTTTTTTCTTTCTTTTCTGCATCTTTTACTCTTCTTCTACATTTAAAAAATGTATTATAATCTTTTATAATTATAATATTTGATAAAATTACTATTAAAAAAGGAATCTTTAAGGGGGTTACTTAAGATGTTTCTGTAGCTAAATGTATAAGTAGCTCTGATTCACATGAGTTCTGTTCCAGCGTAAACCCAAAGGATTACAAAACTCCAAATAATGAGATCTTGAGCCTTGGGAGGTGGGAGTTAGATTTTGGAAATTATGGTCATATTCCTCGTGCAAGTGCTTCCTCTACTTTGCTCCACACATAAAACTGCTTAAAGTGCAGTGTTGCAGACAAACTCTGCCCACAGCCTGGAGTTCGATGCTGATGGGGCTCAAGCTTGACTCAGCCTTCCATCCTTCCAAAGTTGATAAAATGAGGACCCAGATTGTTGGGGGCAATATGCAAATAATGCTTCTACATTGTGCTATAAAGCGCTATTATATAAGTCTAAATGCTATTGCTATTCTCCAACAGGTTCCTTAACATAGGTCACAGCAAGTCTCATTGTGTGACTATGAAGCAATGTATGACTCTCTTGCAGCAGTTGGTCGTGCTGCAACTGTTTGTAACTTGGAACCAGATAGTAATCAGAATGAGCCATGTGGTTCTTCAACAATATTGGTTGTCTCTGGTTCAGACAACTTTTTTCCTCCTAATTATGTTACTCTACCTTTACAAAGCATAAGATAGCTATGTACTTTGCATACATATTATACATATACTGTAAACATTTAATATAAATGTAAATTGTATACATGTAAATAGTAGGTTTTTATCTTAAGGTTATAGCCTGTTGTATAGCAAACTACAATTTTAAAGAAAAGAACTTCAATTAAATTACCCTAAAAACACAGATATATAGGAAATTTCTTTCTTACCTCTCTTATAGCCTCCTCTTCTCTGTCCCTAACAAATGTTATTGAAGGAACATTTACCCGGATACGATACGATACCAGAAGATGTCTAGAAAGAAAAAAATAATTTTAACATCCACATGATTACATATGAAGACAACTTAAAAGCATTATCTGCAAACTTCTCTTTTAAAGATGGAGGAAACAGGTTTAAGTTATAAATACACGTAACCCTCGACTTACACCCACAATTCAGCCTAAAGTTTCTGTAACTAAGCTAGGCCAGCGGTCACCAACTGGTGGTTGGTGGACCACCGGTGGTCCGCGAGCAAATTTTGGTGGTCCACAGAAAAATTATTTGCATTTTTTATCTTGCACTAAATCAGGGGTCCTCAAACTACGGCCCCTGGGACAAATACATGCAATGAACGTTTGTGTTGCTACAGAGAGTCTCCTCCTTCGGGGTCTTTTTGTGTGGGGCAGAGGGGGGGCAGAAATTTCGACTTGGGGTCTGCTTTGGTCTCCTGGTGCGGGGCTTTGGGTGAAGGCTGGAGGGAAGTGCCACTGGTGGCGAAGAGTCGGAGGGCCTTGTTCCAGTGGGACTGCATCATGGTCTGGAACTGGCTGACCATCTCAGCCCACTGAGTCTCCAGGCGCCGATACCTGGCCTTGCACTCCCACAGGACTTCCCTCTGCTTGGAAAGCCTATGCTAGTAGTCCTCAGTGAGGTGTTTCTGCTGAGCCTCCTTCTCGGTCAACTCTTTCTCATGGTGGCTGCTTAGCTCCAGCAACTGCTTCCTGTTGGAGCCCTAAGGAGCCCGGGCAGGCAGGCAAGGAGTAGCAAGTAGAGGCTGGCAAGGTGCCCCTCGACGTGAGCGACATCGAGTTGGCCACACCTACACAGTCACATGAAAACCTTGCCACGTCCACCCAGCTGGTCATTAGGCAAATCATATTAGTGGTCTGCCGGATTTTAAAAAAGTGGTCCCTGAGGTCCGAAAGGTTGGTGAGCCCTGAGCTAGGCAGTGGGCAAATGAGTTTTCCCCCTTTTATTACCTTTTTTTTGCCAGAATTGTATAGTGAATCGCTTCAGTTGTTAAGTGAATCATGCAGTCATTAAGCGATTCTGGCTTTCCCCATTGACATGCTGAAATGGTCATAAGTGTGAAAAACAGTCATAAGTTATTTTTTCAGTGCCACTGTAACTTCCAACAGTCACTAACTGAATAGTTGTAAAGTGAGAACAACCTGTAGCCATTATTCTGTTAATTCTGGGTATCAAAATGTGAAGGAGGCCCACTGTATTTATTTATAAGTATCCTCCCATCTACAGACCAAAACCAACCAATTCTTTAAGGGATGTTTGCTTGACCATAGATACACCATACCAGTACCTAATATAGGATGCTTTTCTCTGTAGGGCTTGCTGAATACATTCATCCTTTTCCGCATTGCCGGAACTCTTCCAATATATGCGACATACTGCAAAATCTGACGTGAGGGAAGCCTAAGAAATTTAAAATACTAACTTTAAATGCAGATTTCACATTTGGAAGGAGCACCACAAACAATTCTATTACCAAACTGCACAAGTGAAAGAGATTGCTATTAAAAACAGTGCTACCATATCAACCATTGGCAGTGGAAAGAAGATATTTTTTTTACTTCACAGACATTCAAAAAGGAATTATTACCAAGAGAGAAAAATAATATAAATTGAAGAATAATCATTCCGCAAGAAAATGGAAGAAGGTATCGGTTATATATTAACACAGTTTTAGCAAGAAGTACAAGTTCCATTTTAAAGTAGGGAGGTTCCAATATTGCAGATACAATTGAGTTTAATCTTAATTCTGATCAATGGAAAGTACACTATTAATGTGTTGAAGAAATTGATGTCAATACATTTCTACATATTTCATGGGATATATAGAAATGAAATAGTTATAAAGGTAAAGGTAAAGGTTCCCCTCACACATATGTGCTAGTCGTTCCCAACTCTAGGGGGCGGTGCTCATCTCCACTTCAAAGCCGAAGAGCCAGCGCTGTCCAAAGACGTCTCTGTGGTCATGTGGCTGCCATGACTATACCTTCCCACCAAAGATAGTTCCTATTTTTCTACTTGCATATTTTATGTGTTTTCAAACTGCTAGGTTGGCAGAAGCTGGGACAAATAACGGGAGCTCACCCCGTTACACGGCACTAGGGATTCGAACCGCTGAACTGCCAACCTTTCGATCAACAAGCTCAGCATTTGAGCCATCTGAAAGTATCACACCCAACTCTCAAATGACAAAAGCAAGTTATCCATACAATTGGATTTTAATTCAGAGAAAGTCAATCTACACTGAATATAACACATTAACAGGAAAGCAAAATGTCCCATTACTGAAAGCATCAACTATCAGTAATTAAAAACTAACAAAAACAATGAAGACAGCAGTGAGTTGGGAGTTCTCTGTAAAAGAGCAAAAAATCTTTCCTTTTCCCTGCTGGAAAAGGATGTTTGGGAAGTGATTCTTCCAAAGAAACAAAATCCTGGAGAAAGAATTTAGGGTTAAACACCAATGTAAAGAAACGTACAGGTAGTCCTCGACTTATGACCACAATTGAGCCCAAAATTTCTGTGGCTAAGCAAGACATTTGTTAAGTGAATTTTGCCCCATTTTACTATCTTTTTTGCCACAATGGTTAAATGAATCATTGCAGACCGGAAGTCTGGTTCCCCCATCAGTCTCCTCCTAGCACGGCAACCTTTTTCCTCTACCTGTCTTAACCAAAAGCCCTATCAATTGTGGAGCCGACTAGCAAAAGGGATGAAAGAACCACATGCAGCTCCAGAGCTGCGGGTTGCTGACCCCTGCTCAAGGGGATATCATTCTTATAATAAGGATTTTTTGAAGCCTTTATCTATGACTATTAATAATATATTAAACGAATACTCTATTTTAAGCCCTCCTACTAGATGTAATGGTACATCTGTATCTACAGAGCTTCTCTTCCATAACTTCCAGCAGAATAGGACTGCAAATTAAATGTAAAAGCATAAGCAGGTCTGGTATAAAATGGCATTATCAACTTATAACAAAGATGGGGAACAATGGACCTTTTATGAATTGTGGACTTCAATTTAGAGAATTCCTGAACCAGCCATGCTGGCTCAAGAATTCTGGGAGTTGAAGTCCACGAAGTGATAAAGGGACCATTGTTCCTCACCTCTGACTGATAATATAGTACAACTGTTCTCGATACGTTCGCAATACAATGCAATAAATAAAGGCAATAAACTATAAGTAATACATGTGGAACAGTTCTCAATGCAATTCAATGCAATAAAGTAAATCACAGCAACATCTGCACAGTTTCCTGGACGCAATCACAAAATCAGATGTTTCTGCTTCAACACATAATTAAGGGATTTTGCGGACTGATATGATTTGTACTTGCCTTAAACACTTCCACATTGAGATCATAAAGTTCTTGGCCAGCTAGAGGGGTGCTCAGTAGATCCCGCACAGCTTGAAAAAACAGAATGTCCAAAGTTTTCTTACGAATGCTATCTTGTTTCCTAATCTTTGGAGGTCGTAGCTTTAAAACATCTGTCAAGCTGGATGATTTGTACAGCTTTAAAAAACAAGCGATTGCAGAAAACAGTTTTGGCATTAGGTATAACTTTTTAGACAGGAGTGCATTTCTTTAAGGATCCAGTAGAACTGCCATTGTTTCTCTGCTTTTCATTACCCTTATTTTCCCGTACTTTTAATACCAACCATGCCCCATAATAATTAAGTGGAAACAGCAATTCCTACCATTCTATAAAAACTGAAATGAAAACTAGAAACAAAGAGCTGAATTTCAATTACATCTCATAAGTATACAGCTGAATTTAGATTTCAAGGATTACATATCTATAATAATCAATCACATTTCATTATATTTTAACTTTTAAAAAGGATTGCCTCCTCTATGTGGAGGTCAATCATAACTCAATATTAAACAACAGTTCCAACTATATTTGTTTATCTTATGTGTCTTTATATACAGTATCATATTTTTAAAAGATGTCTATTAGTTTATGGAGGTGACATAATTCTTCTATGTAACCTGATTATGAGCAAGACTTTTCAGCATAGTTATTTCAAATACCTATATTCTTAAATTTTGATATTTTTATATAGATATCCTTTTGAAGAAGAGCTGCATAGCTGGAAATATAGTACAATAGCAAAAACGTAAAGTAAATCAATCATAAATAACCACAAATAATTGGGTATCTACTAAATATCTGAGGAATCTAAAAAAATAGTTAAAAAAAATAAGTCAAATCTAAAAAATAGTCAAATGATCAAAAATAGAGCTGAAGAAGCGTCTTGGATGAGAAGTGAAACATCTTCAAAGAAAAACCAGAAAGTTTAGTTGCCTCTTGAAAAAAGCACTTTTGGGACAACCATGACCTGGATTGACTGAGAATCTCCATAGGCGTTTGTAATTACACTATAAATATTTTGAGTCCGTTTTACAATCTGTAATATCTGTAAATAACAACCTAATGCTGCTATTTAGGTGTTAATGTGGCTTTGTTCAATTCCTATACCATTCCCTGATGAAAACGATGAATGACAAAATACAATAGCGTAACAATTATTTACTTATTTTTAATTCAGTCTGAAATACAATACAACTTCAATGAAAACACAAGTAGCTGCCACTGCTTTATGCAATTATGGAAACGAAAGTTCCATTTTAGGGTTTATTTGAACCCCAAGAAAACCGCATGATTTAGTACAATGATCATAATAGAGGAATTAAACAAAATTTATGAAATGTGCTGATTAAGACATTGCCTTTAGATTAAGGGATTTTTTGTTCTTACCACTTCAGATCCAAGTGTAGGACTAGAATACCAAAACTTCTTCCTTTAAAGATTAGAAAAAAATAACGTTTATGCTTTAATAACTGTAAAAATATATTTTTGTGTGCTATTTCGTAAAATCTACCTCAAAAATAATTTTAACAAGGGCACTAAATAGTTTAAAAAGCGATCACAACTCACTCATTAGTTATACATCGTTCATGAACAAACATGACATGCTTCACCATTAAATCATAATTTACTATTACCCCTTATAGCAGTTTTTCAACTTGGACAACTTTCAGATGTGTGGACTTGAACTCCCAAAATTCCCAGCTTGCATGCACGCTATCTGGGAAATTCTAGGAATTCAAGTCCACACATTTTACACTTGCCAAGTTGAGAAACACTGCCTTACAGGAACACAGTAATAGCGAATCATTAAAGGTTCCTATCACACACAAATAAAAGTCAATTCAGCAAAAGAAGATAGAGTTCCAATCCAAAATTCAGAGCTCCAAAATTTATGAGTTTAGACTCAGTATTTTACAACTGTAAATTTGACCTATGTCACAGCAGACTAACTTAAATACAGACTTATTCATAACAGCTAAACAGGCAATAAAGCATTTATTATTGTCAGATGATTGAGTAGTAGTCAAAGCATTGGCCAATAGGAACTGTACACAAGCAGATATTGTCCTAATCAGTGTAATTTACTTATTTGAAATGTCAACTGAATCACTGAGGCTGCCTTCCAAAACCACGCAAAGGATGGCACTGTAAGGTTGACACTTAAATATCTTTAATTTGGAACCAATTTCGTGTAACTAAGTACAGGTAGTCCTCAACTTACACAACAGTTCACTTAGTGATCGTTCAAGGTTATGTCACTGAAAAAAGTGAGTTATGATGATTTTTCACACTTATGACTGTTGCAGCATCCCCACTGTCATGTGATTTATATTCAGACGCTTGACAACTGACTCGCATTTATGACAGTTGTAGCGTCCCAGGTCCTGTGATTCCTTTTTGCGACCCTCTGACAAGCAAAGTCAATGGGGAAGCCAGATTCACTTAACTACGACGTTACTAATTTAACAACTGCAGTGATTCGCTTAACAAATGTGGCAAGAAAAGTCATAAGATGGGGCAAAACTCACTGAACAAATTTCTCACTTGGCAACATAAATGTTGGCTTCAATTGTGGTCGTAAATTGAGGACCGCCTGTACAGCTTGCTTCTGAGTATATTATAAGGCGTAGAATTGCAAGTGCAACGTCTATTATTTCAGAGAACGATGGGGGATCGGATGATCCAGAGAAATTGGATCAAACTTCTGTTAACAAGAAAAAAAATCAGGAGGGCTTTAATTCAGAAGGAAGAATTGCGACCAGGCTTGTAAGGGATCTGTTAGGAGGACGATCCTGCCTATCACGCCGCAGAGGAGGATTAAGCGAGGCAAACATTTCCTATCCACGAAGCCATTTATCGCTCCGCAGTTCAGCACCCGTTCGTGTTCGGGTGCAAACGGAGGGGATCCACTCACTTTTTTTTAACGAGGAACTTTTTGAGCAACTCGCTAGGGGACCGGCAGAGTCGTCTGGAACAGTGCAAAGCCCGAGAACAGCCGGGGCAGGTTATCCCGGAGGGGCTTCCCAAAGCGGGAAGCAACCAAGGCAAACTCGCCTGCTTTCTTGCCGAGGTGAGAGCGAAAGTGGCGGCCGCCCTCAAGCTATTCCGAACGTTCCACATTGTAAACCAGAGTTCTAGAACGCCTGGGAAGGCGGGGCCGAACCGTGAGCCGCGCTTCCTCCGGATGCGCCCACACGACGACGCCTGTAACAGAGCTCTTTCTACAGCGCCTCCTAGCGATTAGGAAGGACTTCTTGGAGACATGAGTTTCGACAAAGTCACCACGTTTATGGTCTGTAGAGATTCTCCGTCATCCAGGGCTGAGGTCTCCAACCTTGACAATTTTAAGCTTGGCGGACTTCAACTCCCAGAATTCCCCAGCCAGCTTGCTAGCTGGGGAATTCTGGGAGTTGAAGTCCTCCAGGCTTAAAATTGCCAAGGTTGGAGACCCCTGATCCAGGTCATGGTTGTCCCAAAGGTGCTTTTTCAGGAAGCAACTGGACTTTCTTGTTTTTTTCTTTTGAAGACGTTTCGCTTCTTATCCAAGAAGCTTCTTCAGCTCTGACAGGATAGTGGAGAATGGAAGGATTGATATTCCTTGCAGACAGCTGGTAAAATTGAAAGACCACAGGAACCAGGAGCACCACTCAGGTGACCCTGAGGATATAGATAAACTTCCAAGAGCTTCAAGGACCCTCTAAAAGGATGCAAATGACCAGTAGTTTGCAAGGAGTATCAATCCTTCCGTTCCCCACTATCCTGTCAGAGCTGAAGAAGCTTCTTTGAGGATGAAGGGAAACAATAATAAGGATATAATAAATTATACTAGAATATGATATACTGGTATACTAGATTCTGTAACCATTAGGTTCCTGTAATACATATATGCCTTTGTATTTGTATCATATATATTATGTCTTTATATTTGTATCTCCTGTAACAAACATATTCTGTTATTAGTAATGTATCTGGTATTTGTCAAACATATGTTCCTGCCATTTGATCTGAACCCATATCAATCTTCTTCCTGTTTTTCTTGTGCCATTTAAGAGCATGGTACGTATCTCAGTTGGAACTGCAGACATCATCCAAGGGATAATTTACACTTCAGCTCTAACTTACAACTTTGATCTGTATAAGCTGGTTCCTTGTAGAACCAAGAGCCAAATGAGCAATTGGGAGAACAAAGGAATGCTCAAGGAAAAGATAACGCTAATTGAGAGGCTTCTATTCCTTTGCAGGGCAACAAGGAATATACAAACCTAAACTAGGAGGCCAGAATTGGGTACTAAGCTGATGTCTCTGAGGTCCCCTCTGAGGTAGGGAAGGTATGGTGTCCTAAAAGGACGCCATACCTTCCCCAAGAAGGCTATCTCCTCACATGCATTGTATCTGTATGTTCTGGATATAGTCCCATCCAGTACTTTGTTTTTGGCCATAAATAAAATCTGCTTTTTTTGCAAGCCTCGTCTTGAGTCTCTCTCTTTGGCATTCTGGTGACTCAAGTATATTTTGGGACCTTACAAGGAGAAGCTAAACGTCTTCAAAGAAAAAACAAGAAAGTCCAGTTGCCTCCTGAAAAAGCACCTTTGGGTGACCGATTTGGTAGATTTACTGTCCGCTTTTACTCAAGGAGTTAAGGCAGCTTGGCTTGCTTTATTTTGGATTGTGTGCAGTCAGCCAGACGTTCAGACTGCATTTGGCATTTACATCCAACTATCGAGACCTTCCCAAGGATGTGAGATAGGCAGATGTGGATATTTGATAGTATTTGAAGGATCGTTGAAAGATGTCTGCTGTTCTGAATAAAGCTGCCTTTTGCAATTGATAGTAAATTTGTCAGTGCTGATGGTGTTCAAGAGGTGTTGCAGTTGTTTTGGGATCGCACTCAAGGCACCTATTACTGTGGTCCATTGCACAGTCAGCCAGATGTTTAGACTGGATTTGGCATTTTAGTCCACTCATTGAGTCCCTCCCAAGGACCAGGGATAGACAGTATCATTATTATTATTTCTCCACAAAAAACAACCTTGTGAAGTAGGATTGGCTGAGAGTGACTGGGCCAAAATCATTCAGGGAGATTCCATGGCTCAAAGGTGGGTCTCTCCAGATCTAGTCTGATATTACATTATGCTGATGTATGTATTTGTTCTTTTTCTGATTACATTATGGGACGTGTTTTCCTGTCACCCAAACTGAAAAGGGGTAGCTCCAGTAATCTGTAACTCCTGTCACATCTGAGAGTTACTGCTCTGCTATAAAGTTGCAAATTTCACTTCAATAGTATTTTACAGGATCAGAAGTCCAGGAGTTCTTCAATAGCCTCATAGAGTATTTGCAATAGTAGGCACTACAAAAATTGAACATGTAGGATAGCTTAAATTATATGCCCCCAGATCTCACACGGATGCTATATGCACTCCTAATCACATCAATTATCTCAGTCTTTCCTTTAGAATATATATTTATGAATACATATTAGTCTTATTTCAAAATTGACATATTTACAATATTTGGGAATGTCCTGTTAATTTTAATGCTTAAATTTAATCTTCATTAAGTCAGCTGCTATTTTCAGCATAATAGCCTATCCCACAGATGATATTTGGAGAAATATCTCAGATACCTTTAGCAGTAATCCTTATTTGACAACAAACCCTTCAAATACTGAATCATACCACTGGGACACTCATCCGATGCATCCGGTGCAAAGGGATGACAGATATTTTTATTTTTCAGGTTTGGTTTTTATTCCATTTAACAAAGCTCTGTGGAACAAATGGAACAACATAAATGAACAAAACATACTATGCTTATTTTTTTTCCAAGAAAGCTAAATAGAGATCTGTTGTCAAAATCAAATTCATTACTTTGGTATAAACTAGGGATTTCCAAATTTGGTAACTTTATGCCTTGTGGATTTCAACTCCCAGAATTGCCCAGAGTTGAAGACCATAAGTCTTAAAGTTGCCAAGTTTGGAGACCCCTGCTATAAACATTTAAAGACAAATATAGAAATACTTTATCCCAACAAAGCACATGTTACTCATGGACTTCATGAGTGACTGGGAGGCCATTTATAGCTGCCAGAATACTTTCAACCATCCTTTCCATCATATGGCGGCGGGCTTGTGAAGTTGCAGATCCAATGTGGGGTGTTATGATGACATTCTTTAAATCCAATAAAGCATGATCCCTGAAGGAAAGGAAAGAGAAAAGTTGTCTGTTGTTTTTTTTAAACTTGATGTGTCACACTTATGGAAACTGAACTGAATATGGGCATTTATGTACAGTACTTTAGTCTTTCAAAGTTTTCAGAAAATAGAATCAGATCATTAATATTCTGCAGTTCTTAATTCAAGCATCTCCTCACTTCTGCTTCTAGTAGCACACAAGCACAGTAATGGGGAATACACAGACCCTGTCCATTTTTTCTTGGAAGGGTTTATTATCCCATAAGCCACTTCGTAGGGGAGTACTGGCAGGCAACATAACATGCAGCCAATCCATCTTGCAGAAGTGTGTTCTGCACTGCAAGCATTGGGAGTTCTGAAGAGGAGTGTTGAGGATTGTAGCATTTATCAGTGGACTCAGTTTAGATGTTCCCACAATACAACTGATTGTGAAGAACTGGGACATAGATTTGGACAGGGATAAATCTAATCCTTTCATGGCTAGTTGACTAGATCAGTTGACCCTTTTCTAGTATCCTCACAACACGTTCACCCACTTAGGTGGGTACAATGCTGTGTATACTATATGTACTATCAAGCTTAACTACTAAGACCAAACTTAGCCAACTAACTGGGTATGTCTTGAAAAGGGTTGAGCCATGGGTCATTCTTAGCCCAGTCTTCTCATAGAATGATGGCTGTGGGAAAAATAGGAAGGAAGCTACACTGCCTTGAACTTCTGAATGCAAGGCAGACATAATCATATAAAAATAGATAGTTGATCTTTAGCATTTAATTTTTACTCTCTACTACTTCCATTTCAGTTCCCTGTGCTTTCCTGTGGCCAGCAAGACCAATCAGTCCTTCTAAGGTCCTTAGGTTGTTTTGAGTTGCTCCACAGAAGGGGAAGTTAGTGTTCTAAGCATTTATAAGACCTTCTTCTGGGGGCATATCTCATTTGTCTTGGAACATTTAAAACTAACTTCTCAGTGTAACTAGGGAAATGACGCATTCACATAATGAAATTAAAACATATAAATACCTATAACTCTAATGTTTAAATGCTTATAAATCTAAATATAATTCTTTGTGTGTATATTTGTTTTCCCTACAATATTAATTGGTTTGGATTAATTAATTTTTACACTAAGCAGGAGGTTGAACGTGATTACCTATATGTGTATATGTTTCCTTTCAACACTATGATTCTTTGAGTTTGAATTCAAAGCTTAGTGAACAGCTTCTGCCGAGTTAACTCCATAATTGTTACCTATTTATCTTAGCTAAAAAATTTATGCTGCAGATTAATTTCACATTTGGAGAACTTAAATCAACTCACTGTTTCACATAATATTCACGGAGAAAATCTATCCATGTTGTCTCTAGGAATTGACAACACACATCAATCAATAAAGTAGTATACTATTTAGTCAAATATAACCCTATCGATTAATAGAAAACATTTGTTTTCTTTGGCATCAATGGCCAACTATCTTATCTTAAATAATCCGGCAGTTTGGATGAATCAGAAATGAGTCAGAGTAGAATACCTAAAATGAAAGAATAAACAGAGCCCAAAAGTTCGCACTGACATATTAATTCTAACTGCATAAATTTTTACCTTGGCAGTGGCTCTGGATACGTTACATCCAAAGCTGCAGCCTTAATTGTTTTTGTTTGGAGGGCCTTCAGAAGTGCATCTTGATCAACCACTTGACCTGAATTTAAAGCAAACAAGAGAACAATGGTTTTACTAGCTCTATCAAGACATACTGCTTACCAAGCTAAAAAGGGAAACTCATTTCTCTGATTGAGAGCAGTAAATCGTTAGATGTGACATACCACTTTCACTCTAAAAGATTGACATTTCTGGTGACAGCCAGTTTGGAAACAAAGAAATAAATTCCTTATATTTTAATGAGGAGCATTTTGAATGAATGGGATTCTAAACTAACACAATATTATCACAAAAGGAATTTGGGGTTACGAGAATTAATCAGTTAATACATAACAATAACTCAGTTTGAAATTGTTGAGAAAAAGAAAAGTTCTTGATTTGAGGGTTAGTGGAGAAATCCTTTTATGACTTCCTACAACTCTACGAAGCAACCATAATCAAAATATTGAATTCTGTTTTGCTTAACACACTATAGCACACAAATATTGTAAACGTGAAAAGGGGCAACCAAAATGATTAGCAACTCCATATTATAGTGAAGAACATGAATAATGTGCTGCTGCCCTCAGCTTCTTACTGTCAAAACATTAATTTTCTTGGCAGGAGAAGAATGGTTAAGCAGCGTGAATTTAAAAAATATTTGATATTTCAGGAAATTTGGAATGGAAAGAAGATGAAAGCAAGCATAATTCCACCTAAGGGAAAGGAATACAAGAGTGCTTATTTTAGAAAAATGATAAAGGAAATGCTTTACTGCTGTATGTGTACATTTGAGTATTTAATTAATATTTGTAGTTCTCAGGTTGAGTATTATTTCAAGGAGGTGTTTTAAATAATGACTAACATTTACAAATTAAAGCGAACATTTCAGTATCTCTGCTGATTTGTTAACTGAAAATAGTCCTTTATTCACCATGTCCCATGTATGGTGTACCTCTGGAGATCAGAAGCCCAAGAGCAATAAGTAGCGAGAAAAATAATCCTAATGTAAAATGGATATAGGTAGTCCTCAACTTAAAACAGTTCGTTTAGTGACCGTTTGAAGTTGCAACAGCACTGAAAAAGTGACTTATGACCATTTTTCACACTTGTGACCGTTGCAGCATCCCCATGGTCATGTGGTTTACATTTGGATGTTTGACAGCTGGTTCATATTTATGACGGTTGCAATGCCCCGGGGTCACATGATCTTTTGCCACCTTCTGACCAGCAAAGTCAATGGGGAAGCCAGAATCACTTAATAACTATGTTACTCATTTAATAACTTCCGTGATTCACTTAACAAATGTGGCAAGAAAAGCGTAAAATGGGTCAAAACTCACTTAACAAATTTCTCACTTAGCCGCATACATTATGGGCTCAATTGTGATCATAAGTCCATGACTACCTATAATGGCCATCAAAGTATTTCAATAGAACTTTCCTTAGAGGAGTGTTGTGGCCCGCCAGTGGCTTGCACGGATTGTTGATGAACCCAACGACGAGGAGGCTGGTGTGGTGTTGCGTCAGCAGCCTGTGCAGCCGGCGCTTGAGTCGGACAGCAAGGAGGCTGAAGAAGATGTGGTGCCAGAGGCAGGGATTCAGCCAGGGCCTTCAAAACCTCCAGAGGCTCCTTTAAGTGAAGAGGATGAAGTGGAGGAGCCTCTTCTCAATGCAGGAGCACGAAGAGCTGCCAAAAGGCAGGAGTGGTTACTCAGGAGGAAGTCTCCTCGAGAGTAAGGCTTGGGGCTAATTGGCCACTCCCTTAGCCTATTTAAGTTTGCATACAACTTGTAAAAAGCTGCAGGAAACAACGTGTATTCGTCCGTTCGTTCGCTGACCATTGAGTTTGAATTTTCTCTGCAAACCTGACTTCTAGGCTTTCTGCCAACTCTAGTAAGACTCTATCTTATCTGTGGAATTTCTGGCAGGTTGTTAAGAACGTTTTATTAACAGCCTGCATTTGCAAAAGACTGTGTTTTGAAGTAAACTGAGTTTTGTTTGGAGTTTGTGTGTGCTACATTCTTTGGGATCCGTAGCTGGGGCAGAACAAGCAGTAAGGAGATATGCATTTAGGGTAGGGGTGGGTTCTACTTACCTTTACTACCAGTTTGCAATGGGAGCGTGTGTGTGTGCTTCTGCACATGCGCAGAAGCTTCTGCACATGCGCAGATCATCCATTATGATGTCTGGGTGGGTGGACATCATAATGGATGATGTCCACCCATAATGGAGCCTCCTGCCACTTTTACTACCGGTTTGCAAGAACTGGACAGAACCGGGAGCAAGCCACCACTGATTTAGGGAAATGTTGGCCAGGAATTCTAAAAATGGGATGGGGCATGAACTGGAAGAACAATTTTAATCCAGTACAGGTATTTGAAAATATTACAATATCTCAAGCTCTTTAATTGAGAGATGAGGCAGTTGAATTATATTCTGTGTTAAATTTTCCTGACAGAAATTTTATTTGTAATTCCTTACTTTCCCTCATGTCATAAATGATTTTCATTTCATCACATTCAAGGAAAATGTGGCTATAATGAGTTTGAAATCATTATACTACCTCTACAGATGTTGATAAGAGTGGCAGTGGGCTTCATGAGTTCTAGTTCCTTTCTCCCAATCAACTTGCATGTCTGAGGAGTCAGATTCACAGTCAGCATCACAAAGTCAGCTTGTGGAAGTAAATCTTCCATCTTCTGGCAATAAACTGCACCAACAGCCTGTTCATCTGCCTCATTTCTGCAGGACATAAGTCATTTAGTTCCAATTATTAATGCTAGCAATATTTCCACTGATGTTTCATACCTCCACAGAACTAGTGACAAAGGCAATCTGAACATATAGGTACATCCGCAAGGCCTCTAACCTGTTACAAAGATGCCTTATTCTAACCATTCTTGAAGAATATTGCCTCATCATACAGTCTTCTTCCCATTCTCATACCAGCGCCAATACTACTTAGGTTCATACTGTATTAAGCTGATTCAGTGTTGAAATGCTTTTTTTCTATCTTCTCCCAACACAAATCTTGATATATGTACAATATATATTGTTTCACTGGCAAGTATAGTGAAAATGAAGCAGGTTTGTCTAGCACAGAGGGTCTCCAAACTTGGCAACTTTAAGACTTGTGGACTTCAGCTCCCAGAATTCCTCAGCCAGCCATGCAAAAGTCCACAAGTCTTTAAGATGCCAAGTTCATTCTGAGAGTTGAAGTCCACAAGTCATAAAGTTGCCAAGTTTGGAGATTCCCTGGTCTAGCTCCTACTGGTCTCCTTGGCTGATACAGGCATGCCTTCCACAGCAACATTCATTTATGGATTTAAAATTTGTGAAAGATTAGGAAAAAAGTACTGTTTTATACAGGTATCCCTGCAATGGGAGTCAAATGGAGTTATTAATGGTGAACATAAGAGAAAGATTAAAAAAGGTAAAAAAAATTAGTGCGTCTATGATCTAATCTGAGAGCTGGTTACCTTTGGTTTCTGTTATGATAAAGAATTTTCATCTCAAAAGCTTTAGCTCTTTGGGCCACCTTGTAACCAATCCGGCCCATTCCAATGATTCCTAGAGTTGTACCAGTTATTTCTTGTCCCAACCAGTCCATATTAAAATGTGTAGTGTCAGGGGAAACTGCAATCTGATAACCTAGAGATGTTTAAAAACAAACCAAAAAGAAATGGATTATGGTAGTACGAAATCAGTCAATACTCAATAGCGCAGGTCTCACTCTTTTGTAGCAAAGTATGTTGACCTTACTGATTCTTAACAGGGGCGGGTGCTACTTCCTGCTTCCTGCTACTGGTATTTGTAGCAAGGGCTCAACTGTCTTGGAGGAAACCTAGAAATCTTTCTTCACAATCCTAGCTACGATGCATACAGATTCTCTGCTGAATGCATTAGTAAGTGGTTGTTCAGAACATGCTCTATGTTTCTATATTCCAGAATTGCATTATGGCATTAAAATCAGCCTATGGTGTCACTAGAGTCAAATTTAACTCTGCTGGGTTTGAAAGCTATGATGACAAATGTCTGGGTAAATCTATACACTGGATTGGAAGTAGAAAAAAAAACGGGATGCGGGCAGTACTCAAAACCAGGATCACTCTGGTCTGCGGAAAAACCTCTCTCTACAGAATGTATCTAAAAGATTGAGAGCCACTGATCTGATAGTTCAGAAGTTCAGCAGGTTGCTATATCTTGAAAGACCACAACAAAATCCTTAAGCAGAGGCAAACCTTGCTAGTTCTTGGATGGGAATCATGAGAACATTTCAGAGATGTAGACTAAAGTGGAATATTTTAAATGTTCTGGGTTAAAGACAATGGCAAAATACTTGGTTACATTGTACCTACAAGGGAGTCTTTTAAAAACAATATGAATCCAATTAGGTTGAAACATAAAAGATTTAAACAGTCTCTCCCCCCTCCCCTGCCCCCACCAATTTATTTATTTATTTATTTTTCAAAATTTATATGCCGCCCTTCTCCCGTAGGACTCGGGGCGACTCACAAGATAAAAACAATACAACAATGCAATACTAAAATTAATCAATTTAAAAATCCCCAAACGATTAAAAAGTCTCGCAACAGATCAGGGAATTTGCTGAAAAAGCCATGTCTTCAGCTTGGTGCGGAAAGTGCGGAGGTCAGGGGCCATCCAGAGCCCGGTGGGTAACCCATTCCAGAGGGTCAGTGCGGCCACAGAGAACGCCCTCATCCTGGGGGTCGCCAGCCGACATTGTCTGGCCGATGGCACCCGGAGGAGGGCAGCCCTATGTGAGCGCACAGGTCGGTGGGAGGCTGGTAGGAGGTGGTCCTGCAAGTACCCCGGGCCCATGCCATGAAGGGCTTTATAGGTGAGTACCAGCACCTTGAAGCAGATCCAAAGAGCCACCGGCAGCCAGTGCAGCTCGCGCAGGAGAGGTGTTACATGGAGGAGTAATAAAGGAGAATATTTGTTGCACTGATGATGTTACCTACTTGGGGTAATGAAATGTCTGCAAGAAATCAACTACGCTCAGAGAGCACCAAGGACCCCTCAATCTCTCCCTTCCCTCATCGTACTGTCATTGGGTTAAGTAAACTTAAATTGTACCTTCCACAATCCTTCTAGCGGAAGCCAGCATCAAAGCCATTCCTATATCAGCTGTTGAATTGGACACTGCAAAAGGTGTATTGGTTACTCTTATACCAAAGCTAAAGATCAGTTTTAAATCAAGGTGGTCTATTCCTACACCCGAGACTGCAATCACTTTTAAATTACGTAGCTCTTCCAGAAGATCCCTGGTAACTTCAGGTTTATGGACCCACATAAATATTGCTTGGATTTTTTCATTAAGCACTTGCTTGTTTTTCAGATATTCCTGCATGGTGACAAGTTTAAGATGTTTTTCCAGAAATTCTACATGGTCTTCATAAACTCCATCTGGACCGCCAATGACGTTTATTAATGTATATGGTAACTCCTGTTTTTCCACAATCTACTTAAACAAAACCAACAGATATTACTTTTATGACACATACTTCTATAACAACAATATGCAATTATTAACGTACTGATCTTAGAAAAGCGTATTGATAATAACATTTTAATCTTTAACAGTTTTTGAGAGATATCACCATTAAAAATAATGTTCTTTTTTTACCGATGTGAAAACTGAGACATTTACTTGTTCTGATTCATTGAAATTAACACATTGTACAAAAATACACATCCAAAAGATGCCAGGTTAAAAAAAAAATGCTGCTATACTGCTTCTGATATAGCACTTAAAATTGCCCCCTTTGCCCCCCCTCAAAGCTCCCCAATTCTCTCTTCATTTCACTTGATTCAAAGCACAAGTTTGCCAAAGATGATCAATGGCAGTTTTTGTTCCTCTTTTCCCATCTGGACAAATATAAATTACCTCGCTAAAAGTATCAGCCATTGCACAAAACAAGGCAGCTGCGCTTGCTTCTGAATTGTTACTTGTCTCAAAGTACAGTTTGAGAAGCCAGAGTTCCAAAGAAGCCAACTGTGAAGGACTTTGGAATTTAGAGAGTATACAAAGTTTTCGACCTCTATTTTATGTTCACAACCAATTTAACTTTCAAGATGGGGACTGGCTCAGCTTATCTAGGAAGCTTGTACTGGTGAATGAGGATTTGAAGAGAGAGAACCTAGTTTGAGATTTTATTGTCCTATTTATGTAAATGGAGTATCTCTCTTTAGTGAAATTCTTAATTGAAGGCTACCGCCTCTCATAATGTTTCTATTGGTTATTTCTATTTTGGGAGCATTTTCTTAACCAGAAAATAGCTATTTTAAACTAGAATGTAAGAGAAAAAATATATTTATCCTAATCTTCAAGAGTACGGTACTCCTTTCAGTTGAAATTACTTATACAATAATAGAAAAATCAGACAACTGGTATTTTAAACAAATATTTAAAAATGGTCGAGCACCAGCATATCAAGAAAAGAAAAGCCTTTTTTCCCCTGAATCTGTAAGTCTCTTGAAATTCAAACTTTTTTTTTTTTTGTAAATATTTTTTATTTTTTTTCTCAAACATAAACATAAAATATAACTTTTAAGAACAAAGTCTTGATCCGGTCATAGATGGTTACCACGCTTACATTCCTTTAACAAGCTCCATTCAATTTCCCATTATATCTTTTGCGGATAGAAATTCAAAACATTAAAAAAAACAAGTTTTAGCATAAAGTCTAGCATCTCCACCTAAACAAATCCATTATATCAATACAATTTTAATTTCAAACTAACTTTCGCTCATTTTTATATCTATATGTCAATCCTGATTTTATCTTGTTCTTCTTCACTTTGTATCTTTTACCATCAGTGTCAAAATAATTTTTAATAATATTCTAACCTCTTATTCCATTTATGTACCTTACGATTTTATCACCACAAATCTTAATTTCAAGTTCAATACAACTCCATTTTTATTACACTTTCTAAAACAAAATTCTATCTAATTCTTAATCTCTTGACCCTTTTCCTTGAATCTTAGTATCTTAAACACACTTAAAAACACTTATCATCTATTACAATTTCCATGTTACACAGATTAATCACAAAAACATGTTTTATTTAATCTAATTTCTAGCATATTTTCTTCCATATCTCCCTCTATTGTTTGGCTGTTTTCCAGGATATTATGTTTGGCTGATTCCCAGCATAGTCTCCTCCAAAACACCAACTATTTTTGGCTAATTTCCAGTATAGTTTCCTCCAAGCCTACCATCATTATTAGCTAATTTCCAGCATATTATGTTTGGCTGATTCCCAGCATAGTCCCCTCCAGGGCTCTTGTTTGGCTGGTTCCCAGCATATTCTCCTCCAACTTTCCTGTAAATGTTTGGCTGATTTCCAGCATTTTAACTAGTTTCCAACATATTTCCTCAGAGTCTCAAACTCTTATCTAGTTGGTGTCCATCTCTCTTATTTTAATTCAAACTTTAATGTGCATTCTGAATTATCCAGATTTTACATAATTAAAGCTACAGTATTCTCACTTCTATTAACAAAGAGATCTTTCATAAGAAAAGGGCAAAGTTTAATGGGGAATTTTGAATCAAGCTGTAACTTAATAAGTTATTTGTTAAACTTTCCTCTCTTAACCAAATGCAGCTGGATTATGGTCTTGATCACATTTCAGTCTTTGTATTTCGGTTGAATGCGTCTACTTAATTTTCTACTCATAAAGTACAAGTGTAGTTGACTTTGGTGGGCTTATGCCATTTAAAAAACAACAACCAAATGCTAGAATCACAATGCATTTCTTTACTGGATATTAATTTCATTATGTTAAAGAAATTATATAGGTACAAACAAAGAGCAAAAATACTGCTTTTTTTACTTCCTAATTATTACATGAGTATTCTAAGTTATCATTAAAGTCTCTTTATAGATCAGAATAGTTTGAAAATATTGATCCTATTTGAAAATACTATATTTTTATTAGCAGTTTTATATTGCTGATTTTGGAAGATTACACAAATCAAATTAAAAATAGAAGAAAAATAATCAATAATTAAACATATATTTTAGTACATCCTAAAAGTACATTTTTCTTTGAATAATTGGAATTTAAAGATATGGACTTTTGCTTTGGTTGCAAAATAAGTCACAATGGGCTTTAAAGGTTTATATACTTACTGTGAAGTGTTTATCCAAGTCTAATCACCTATCTTATTTTGTAAACAGATTGCTCTTATCTTTACAAATGTTGCATTTGTAAGGTTTAAAGTGCATTGTATTTCTTTCTCTTCCTGTCAGCAATACAAGCATATATTTTGGTTCCTCTTCCTGATTTCTAAATTATGTATTGAAATTTGTTTGTTCCATTAAAAAAAACATAAAAAGCAAGCTGGTTCAGAACAATTTGTTCTTAGATACCATTATATATATATCATTAATGGATTCAACTTTTGAATGTCATGAAAAATTTGAAAGCTTCAGCAGTCACCACTTTCTAGTCAAGATCAGAAAACTATGTCTTGATTCACAATTATGTTTGGCAATATTGTGTTTTGCTTGTTTTTATTTCAATTCAACCATAGCAACTAGTTAATCATATGTATATGGATTAATGGGTTGTATGAACTCAGTCAACTGGGTTTTATTCAATAAATGTGGGTGAATAACATTTGACATTTCTAAGTAATCTCTCATCTAGTCTAGCAAACCAAATGGGCAAGGCAGCACCGTTTGTTATATTTGGGTTGTGCTCTCTTCTTCATGTAATTGTCAAAAAACTGCAACAATTATCTGCAGATTAAGAATGCAGGAGAAAGATCTTTTCAAACATGAAAATAACAATCTCAAATAATATTTCTATGGTAGAACTATTCAAATTTTTTTATGTTTGAACCTTGATGGGATGTTCAACAGAGCCCTAAACCTTAACTCTTCTGAATTTGTTGTTCTCATTTTCCAAAGAGGTGTATCTGTTTGCTAGAGATAAAAGGATGAAGGAATCAGAAACCCAATCACCATGATCAAAAACCTCAGAACAAACTTTTTTCCAATGATATTTTATTTATTTATTTTATCAAATTTATTTGCCATCTGTTTTGTTTCAAAGTGACTCTGGGTGGCTTAGAGAATTAATTCAACTACAAAAAATAATCACAGTCACACATTTTGAAATTGATAGGAATATGTTGTCTGGCTATCTGTCATGATTCTCAGAGGTTAATGTCCTGTTCTTGATAATTCATAATTTTTTTTTTGTATGTTCTCCATCAGGTCATTTGGAGATCACTTCACTAGGAATGGGAAGATCATTGAGAACTGCCAGGATGTTTTCCACTGCTTCTTCTGTCATCATGTGCAGGGCTTGGTCTGTAGCAGTGCCAATGTGGGGTGTTATGATGACGTTTTTCATCTGCAATAGCAAGTGATCTCTGCAGAGAAAGCAAGGCAGGATAATTTAGAGTCACCTAGCCAGGGCAAATTGGAATTGGAAAGCAACTGCTTCAAGACGGAAACCAACCAAAAGGGTACTAGCTTCTGCTGCCCAGTTTCTGCTAGGGAAAGCTTTCTGTGGAGTAGTATCCATACTATCCAAGAGGCACAACCTGCAAACAGCCATTACTTGCTGCTTTGCTGTTTCAATCGCTCTTCCTCTAGAATTACTCCTGCTATTTCAAAGAGAAAAGGAATCAATCTCACAAATGTCTGCATTGGGATGATTGAAGAATGAAATGTTAGAAGCAACTGTGATCTTTTTTTAAAGACCAAACCTCTAAATTGCATTTTGTGTACGCCAAATAGACACCTTCTCAAAACTTAGATTATTTATTACACTTTTATCCCACTCTTTCTTTGATAGCTCAAGGCAAACCTGGGTGTATCATCTCACATGATATTATCCACATGACAAAAACCCTATGAAATTAGTTGAGTTGGGAAAGTAACGGGTCAAAAGTCATCTACTTGGGTCAGTCATTAAATGGGAACCTATACTCAGACTTCTTCAGTTCATTTCTAATATTTCCAGCACCACACTACCTAAACTAAAAGTAAAAGGGTGGCATAAATTTAAACTATTGGTGTTTTTGCTATTTTTTTAGTGGATCTTTGTTGATTAATGCGAAGAGCTGCAGATTTAGAGGCGACTTTATAGAAAGTGGGTCGAGTATGGAATGAAGAGGTATCTGGTTTATTTTAGGAGACAGTGATAAATTGTTAACGAAGCCACTTATGGAATTTTTGTGAGAAACTAAGAGAAATATAATTTTGATGTTGGGATTTGATGATTAGAATTATATGGGATTATAGAAACAATGCACACTACTGTTAATTTTAGAGTAAAAGTTGGAAGTATTTTTTTTATCTGTATGATAAGGACAAAGGATAAATTGGCTGTACTAGTCTGACTATAAACAGACAGTAAATTGGGCCAACGTAGGAGTTCCTATATTAAGAATGTTCTTCTGAATCTATACAATATCATCGTTATTTATTTCATGCTGGATTTATTGTCCTTTTATTCTGATCTAGGAGTATTGTATTATTTTACCTTGGCAATGGCTCAGGGTAGGTCACATCCAGAGCTACAGCCTTAATAATCTTATTCTGGAGTGCTTCTACCAATGCATCCTGGTCAACAACTGCACCTAAGAGAAAGGGGATTTTGGAATGACACAAATATATTTTGCATGACTGACATTTTATCAAGAAATAATCAAGCAAAATACAGAATACAGACCCACCAAGGTTTTTTGAAACCATAAATGGCTTAAACAACAGAAATGTACATTTGGATAGTGTTGCATCCTACCTCTGCAGATATTGATGAGCGTGGCTGTGGGTTTCATCAATTCTAGCTCTCTTTTTCCTATGAGATTGTGGGTCTCTGATGTCAAATTTACAACCAGCATCACAAAATCAGACTGTCGAAGCAAGTCATCTATGTTTTTACAATACGTGGCACCAACCTCTTGTTCTTCTTCCTCTTTTCTGGAAGAAATAAATGTGAAAACAAACTTTTAAAAGGGTTTTTCATAGTGGAGTTGTTTTGGAGGCTAATCACTGAACAGCATAAATAAGAAATATTTTAGAGTCATGGGGAGCTTGCTATATTAGGTCTAAAGGCAGAACCCCACACTTTTCTTCCTATTCAGTACAACCTATGGCAGTATCTGTGGTTCTTCTTGACTTGCATAACAAACTTTTTGTTGTTCCAAAAATAACTGCTGCAGAGTATTTGTTAAATCTGCTTGTTGTTAGTAACAACTCAGAGTTCACACATGTAGCTTACTCTCCATGATTTTTATGAAATATAGATTTGAAGAAAGCATGTTTTTGCATACAGCATTATTTATATATCTAACCTCTTTTTTATTATCAACCTGATGATGAATTAGATCTTAAATTTGATCCTAGAGAACATTCTTGCCAGAAACAGATATAAAATTAAAATAGTTTGGGATTATTGAGTTTAGAATTTCATGATTGCTATTCATTGGTGAAATGACATCTGGGTAAAGCCATGTGAAATGGGGAATATGTGCTGATATCTCAGAAGCCATGCTCCAAATTTCTTCAGACCAGATCTAAAGTGAACTTTGCAACAGAGCTCACTTCTTTATTAATTTGTATTCAGAAGAATGGAATGTCCACAATTAGTCACAAACCAATAGCTTAATAACCTGTGGATTTAATTTGCCTGAATGTTTATGCATTTCTATTGCCATTGTAACAACACTAAGGAAATATATGCTTCATTGGGCCAAGTTCCTGCAAACATACTGTATATAGCAAGGGTGTCAAACTCAAGGCCCGGGGGCCAGATCCAGCCCACGGGGTGCTTAGATCTGGCAGGCAGGGCCTCCCTGGAAACAGCAAAGAACCGGATCGCAGTGCATCTGCCAGCGAAAACAGAGTTTGCAAGGGCCGCATGTGGCCCTCCTGAGCTCCGTTTTCACTGGCAGAGGGTTGCAGGAAGCCGTCGCAGCCAAAAACGGAGCTCACAAGGGCTGCATGCAGCCATCCTGAGCTTGGTTTTCATTGGCAGAGGGTTGCAGGAGGTCATCACAGCCAAAAACGGAGTTTGGGAGCCTGTTTTCGCTGGCAGAGCACTTGGGCCACCACAGGTGCCCCCCAACAGAAGTGTCGCCACGCTGGCGATGCCCACCCTGGCCCCCCAAGGTCAAACACAACCCTTATGCGGTCCTCAATGAAATGGAGTTTGAGACCCCTGGTATATAGCATTCATACTTTCAGTTCTAGTCTGGTGCTTTGGCCAAAGATCACTGCTAAAGGGCAGTTGGAAAATATTTTTAAAGGCTACTAAATGAGTTTCAAACTTAAATCCCAAAATATATAATATATCCTAGCTTGCCTGCCCTGCCCTATCTCATATCAATCATACCATATCATATCACATCACATCTACAGTATACGTCTCAAAATACATGTACCTCTGGTTCCTATTGTGATAGAGAATCTTCATGTCAAAAGCCTTTGCCCTCTTGGCTACTTTATAACCAATGTTGCCCATTCCAATGATACCAAGAGTGGCCCTGCTGACTTCTACTCCTAGCCAATTAACAGCAAAATGGGTAGTATCTGGAGATGTTGCCAGATAACAACCTACAGCACAAAAATAGAAATTGAGTAAAACAATATTAAGCGGGATATCTATTCTAGTGGGATAACATTATTCTTCCCTTTCTCTCTTCTGGCTTCCTAGTTCTTTCCTACGGCCATAAGCAGCAGTGGTTAGATTTATTGTCTGCTTATTTGGGATTTATCCATCTCCCTGGATTTTGGCCAAAGAGGAAATCCCTCCTCTTTCTGATTTCCAAGTATACAATTTCTGCAGAAAAAAAACTGACAAATAGATGTAATTTGTCTTGTGGTGTTAAGGGGCAAGTCCTTGATGAATGTTCAGAAACATTTTGATTTATATTACATGTTGATATTTACCTAATTAACTACTACAGAACATTGTTACAGAAAAAAAATAAATCAGAGAATAAATCATGCATGTTAGACAAAAATACAACAATGCAATTGCTTAATCTCAACTTGTTTTTAAATTTATTTAACAATTTGAGGCTTCCGGTTTGGCTTCCGTCGCCATCAGACGGTCTTTCGAGACCGCCAGCCCCGTCGCCCGTAAAGAGCCGCCTTTACAACTGAAAGGCGGCTCGAAAAACTCCATTTCCTTAAGGAAATGTGAGACAGAGCCGGCGAGGGCAGGTAGAGCCCTCTGCGAAGTCCCCAGAGTTTTTGTTTTACTCTTGGGGACGAAGCAGGATGAGGCTCCCTATTTTCGCTCGCCGCTGCTCCGGGCTTCGGGAGAACTCTGCCTTTTTGCAGAGCCAGGCGATGGGACCAGACCAATTAACGAAACTAACAGATCATTTGAACAAGTAGGAGGAAATCCGGATCTGGGATCCTAAATTACAAGTATTTCTAACCCTAAGACTGATTTTAAAAGTAAAGGAGAGTGAAAGGAGGAAAAAAGAGAATTTAAAATGGCGACTGGCTGAGGCTTGAGAAGAAAGCTGAAAGCGAAAGTCCTTCCGTTTGAATAGTTTAATACGTTACAAAGTATCTAAAACAATAGCGCTGGCTAGGAGTGAAGAGAAAAATTCTTATTTTATGCCTCTTCCTTCTTAGAGACTTGATATTGATATTGTTTGGCGAGAAGTCTTTTTCTTTAAAAAGGGGAAAAATATGTTTGTGTGGCAGGATGGCGTTAAAACTGACAAAGCCAGATAACCAAGCTGTGGGGGGGGGGCTCCCCCATTTATAAACCACATGAACAAGTTGTGAGCTTGCAGATGCAGAAGAATGGCTTTACAGACCTAAAGGAATTTGTACTGGAGGAGATGGCAAGACATGATAAGATTGTGAATCAGAACCTTGAAAATTTTAGACAGGAAATTAAAGAGTTGGTTCAACAAAAGTATGATATCCTGAAGCAACATATGAAAAATTTCGTAGATGTAATTATCAGGATGGATAAAGAGATCAATTTAGAAATAGAGTCTAAAATGAAGGAAGTTGATCATAAGATTTATAACCTGGACAATAAAATACAAAGAATTGAAAATGATTTAATAATGATTCAAGAAAAAAGCTCAGAAGCAGAGTTTAAAAAGTTTAAAAAAATAAAGGAAGCTGACTACAAGACTTACAATGTAGATAATATAAAACAAAGGATTGAAAATGAAGCCACAATGATGCAATTCAGATTCATGGAATTTGCAGTCAGAATTAGGGGAATACAGGAAAATAAAAGACAAGATTTGAGAAAGGTGTCTGCTGAAGTTCTGGCTGAGATTTTAAAGGTTAGTCCTGAAGAGGTATCCTGCAAGATTGATAAGGCTTACAGAGTTAATTCTTGGGTGGCAAAGCAAAGGCAGCTGCCTAGAGATGTGGTGATCTACTTTACTGATAAAGAAATAAGAAATGATATCATGCAAAAGTCTTTTAACTCCACTCTTTTTTTTTTTATTTATTTATATGCCGCCCTTCTCCGGAGACTCAGGGCGGCTTACAATGCGTTAAGCAATAGCCTTCATACTTTTGTATATTTATACAAAGTCAGCTTATTGCCCCCACAAATTGGGTCCTCATTTAACCTACCTTAGAAACGATGGAAGGCTGAGTCAACTTTGAGCCTCGTAAGATTTGAACCTGCAGAAATTGCAGGCAGCTGTGTTAATTACAGGGTGCATTAAACCACTGTACTACCAAGGCTCTTCAAGACTCTTGAAATGCATGGAAGGAAGATTTGGATATTTAAAGAGCTGCCGCCCAAGATGTTAAAAGATAGAAAGGATTTTGGATTTTTGGTGACTGAGCTAAAGAAACAAAACATCCCATTCAGGTGGGATGTTCCAGTTGGTATAATATTGAGATATCAAGGAGAAAGATATCAACGAAATACTGTTGAAAAAGCGGAAGAATTTTACTACAAGGTTCTTAAAATGGGTTCAACATCTCCATGTATAACACACGAGGGGAATGAAGAAAAGCAAAATCAACAAGAGATTGAAATTCAGGCTAAGCAGATGGAGGTGGAGGTAATGGAAAAACAACAAGTTACAGAGGCCTTTGTGGATGAGCTGCTTTTGGATTCTCCTTCAGAGGTCACAGTTGGACTACCTATAAATACAAGAGAGGCGGCTTTGGATTCTAATATGATGACTTATCAAATTACAGACCAGCACGGAAATCAATCAGTTGATATACAACTCATAGAAAGGCAACCAGGATGGAGATTTAAGCCACAAAAAGTTAAGAAAAGAAGAAGCAGGTCCTACAAAAATAAAATTTTTTAGACTAAACAACAGAGTAATGCCAGTTACTTAAGAGACGATTGAATATATGAAAATATAGTTGAGGCAAAGTATTGGTTTGAGGAGTGACAGATCTCTGCAGTGCTGTACTTTTGGGATGTGGAAGATGGCCTTAAGTTGAGTGGATTAATTTTCTATTTTGGACTCTTTGACAAATGGATTACGTTTATGCTGAGCTACAAAGCAAGAGAACTATGGGATTGGGGCATGCAGAAGATCTGATTGTTACCCTAACACGGTGGTTGGAATTAATAATCTAGATGAAAGACATTACAAAAGACACTATATGGAATATAAATATAAAGTCACTCGGGTGGTTTTTTATATACGAAAACATTTACTATTGATGGGGGCAGATGGTAATTGAAGATACTGAACATACTGTTGGAACTAGAATTTGATGTTACCTTAACATGGGTGATGGAATTAACAATCCAGTTGAAAGACATTACAGAAGATATCATATGGATTACAAGCTTAAAGTCATTTGAGGATTTTATTTACATATGGAAATATTTTTTAGTAGTGTGGGCAGAAGAACAAAGATATTAAAAATATTATGTATGGTAGATTATGAGTTGAGTTGAAATTGCCAAATTAGGATTTATTATATAATTTTACAGCTGAATGTTACTTTGAAATGTATAGTATAGGGGGATATAATAATATTGTTAGAAAGAAAGGGTCAGTATATGGGGGGTGGAGTAAAAGGATGGTAAAGTATTATATAATCTATTATTAATCTGGGTTTTATTTTGGAGAAGCCACAGGGGGAGGGGAGGGGGGGGGAGGGAGGGGGGGGGGAAAGGGGGGGGGGGAGAATTTGTATTTGAAAAACTTTTTCAATAAAAAAAAATTATTTAACAATTTTTATAATCTCCCAATCTTAATAGTATTAAGAAAAAAAAAGTACATAGAGGATTGAAACCATCATGTTATCCTTTAGTATAAGATTCACATAATACTTTCCAGAGTGAATATTTCTTTCCTATCATTTTCGTCCACTACAGGTAGCCCTTGTTTAACAACCACAATTGGGACCAGAATCTTGGTCAACGAACAGAGTGTTTGTTAAGTGAGATGTCAGGTGACTTCCCACATGACTGCTTCGCTCAACAACTGCAATCCCTGCATTCATGGTTGAGGTGATTAAGCAATTGTGGGTCTTTAAAGTGGATTGAGTCCCAGGTAAGGAGTGTGGGATGCCACTTGTGGGTTGAAGGAGACTCTGGGAGGCTCTGTTTAGGTTTTAAAAATCCTGTCTGTGGAAATCCAAGTAGGACTTTCAGCCCCTGAGGGAGAAATACTTGTGGATGGCCAGCAATGGGCCTCTGCCAACCCCAAGGCTCCCCATGTTCTTTCCTTATCACACTGCCTCTCCACTCAAGAGCTGAAAGTTCCCCACTGTCCATGGAAGTGGGGAACCTTTGATGGAATGCAGGAAAAAAAGTCCATATCTTCAAGATCTGAACTCTGTTTTTCCACCCCACTGCAGGACTTCAGCTCTCCTTCGCACCTGGAAGGGAACACCTTTAGCAGGGTGCATGAATGGAGCTCAGACTTTCAGGAGCTGAGCTCCATTCCTCCACCCTTGCAAAGGAGTTTAGTTCCGCTCAGCAGGCAGCTCTTTCAGTCAGCCCCCAGAGACAAAAGGGAGTCCTCTCAGCAAGTGACCACCATTTGCAATCTTCCCTGCCAGTTTCTCCACTGACTTTCTGGGGAAGGAATTCTCACACAGGGGGGAATATAGGTATAGCCTGGAGGGCTTCAGGTTGAATCACATCAGATTAAAGTATTCTAAGTGGCAGGAGTTAAGTATCTCTAAAAATCATGTGAAGGGATCATGGGTATTATGTTATCAATTTTACAAAGGTATTTGTTGCTTTTTTACAGCTCTAATTCTTTCTTACTTACCAAAGATTACTAACAGAGATAACAACATTTTCAATATATATGTTATTGTTTAATATTTCTTAAACTTTTCTTTGTAAGGAATTGAGCTGAACAAATAGTTGTCAAATAATTGGGTGACTTTCTAAAGATGCTTAAAGACTTTCTAAATATGCTTATTCAGAAACATGTTGTTCTGTTTCTCGATTTTGGGAGTCTACTAATAAAACAGTCGCAGTTTGCTATACCAGTTTGCTATAGCTTCAAAACAGGAATTTGAAGCTATTTCCTGATGTTTTCTAACAAAAGTTTTTCTACAGGGAACAACTTGACATTCTAACCTCTTTCAAGATGGTTTTGGGACCCAAATCAGGTCTGCTGACTATAGCTGACCCAAGGATAGTGCAGGGAGAGTATTGCTTAGTATGCACATTTAAAACATCCAAAGTATATTCTGCTTATACTTGTTCACATCGTTGAATAGGTCCAAATCAACAATATAATTCGGTGTTACAAATATAACTAGTTGAAAGTAAGTATGTGAAGAAGCAGATGGTAGGCTTGAAATAACTAAAGGGAAAATCCAATACTGGCTGAACTGCAGAAGAAAATTATTTACCTTCAACTAATCTTCTGGCAGATGCTAGCATTAATGCCATCCCAATGTCCGCAGTAGAATCAGAAACAGCATGCGGAGTATTGGTCACTTTAACGCCAAAGCTACCAATTAATTTCAGATTCAAATGATTCACTCCTACTCCTGAGTTTCCAATCACCTTTAAATTGGGCAGGCTTTCAAGAAGCTCCTGGTCAATGACTGGAAGACGCTCAAATACAAAAACAGATTTGATCTTTTCATGGAGTTCTTTGCTTTTCTGAAATTCCTTCATGGTGATGAGATTAAAATGCTTCTTGAGAAACTCTACATGGCTTTCTAATACACCAGATGTACCGCCTATTCCAGAGATCAGCACACTGGGCAGTTCTTTTTCCATAATCTGAAAGAGAAGATAACGATCAGAAATATTTGATTGAGAAAGCAAGTGTTAAGAAGTATTTTTTTTAAAAAAAACTTTTAAATAACCAAGGACTGAAGCTTCCTGATCCTGGAAATTCGAGATCAGGAAAGAATTACTTGGCTTTTCACATTTGTATACCTATAAAAATAAAACTCTGAGTGGGAAGAACATATTTGCTTTTAAAATACTATTCTTTTAAACCACTATTCTGTGGACTCTGTAGATAACATTCCCTAAAGAATGGTGACATCTTCTGTTACTGATCTTAATGGACATATAGCAATTACTGGGAATAGGTGATTAGATCCCCAAATCCTAAAATATGAAGGGTTTTAAGTAGATAACCATTATGTATTGTACTGCATTATCATGTGTAGTAATTTTTATTACATTTCTGGGCCCAGGTCAAATTATTCGTATTAGCCTATACATCTTAAATAGCTTGGAGTCAAGTATTTCATCTCATAAACCAGGACTGCACAGCACTTCAGATTCAATCCCTGGAAGACACTTTAGATTATGCCAAATCACAAATGTAGCACAGAAGCTGGATCTTTCCGTATAATATGGATAATCTACTGCAAGTGGTCAATACATTCCCATTCACATCAAAGGCAGTTTGAAAAGATAATTACTAGGTGTCACTCATCTATTTTTATCTGCTCCCTTATTATGCAGTAGCTGAAAAATGGTTCTGCCAGATATTTTGCTTTTAGAGCTGGCCAAAAATCCCAAAGTTTCTTAAAATGATCTAATCGCATTACTTGAGATGTTGTCCTCCACAGCACTTAAGATTTTGAGAACCTGGAACAAGCTGCACTTCTCAGATGGTTATACTTGGCTTCAAGCCTATTAGCTACTGTCCCCTAAGATAATAATGCCCTCAGTCAAGTCTTTCTTGCCCCAATGGATAAAAAGCAACTTTAGCTATTTTTAATCCATGAAATAAATCCAAGCAGATAATTAAGTAATGTTTTTGGAGCCTAACCAAAATGCCCCTTTTCAATAAATAATATGAAATACATTTTCTTTTATAGATTGAAATTAGGTCTGTAGCAATCTTGATCTAATTCAGTGTATCTAGGATACACTGGGATCTTCAGTGTGGTGCCAGTGCACATCAATGAACTCCTCAGTGTGTATAACTTTCCTCCTCCCTCAATAAAAACAAACAAACCAATTCCTTTCATTTTAAAACAGCTAGCTGCCAAAACACTAGCCAACAGGTTCATCAGTAAGGTCTCTCAGCCCTATGTATTTTCAGGAGTTTTCAGGAAAAAAAAATATGATTGGCTCATCTCAATACTTTGCTAGGAAGTGTGTCTGTTTTCCCAGAAAAAGACAAGGTAAATTGGGGGTGGTATGTAGCATCTTGAGAGTAAGAAGGGGTGGCAGGGAGCATCAGCAGTTAACATTCTGATACATTTTGTAAATTGTGAACAGACAAGGCAGGGGTGAAATCTAATTTTTTTTGCTACCGGTTCTGTAGGTGGGGCTTAATTAGTGGGCGGGGCTTGGTGGTAAGGTGACTGGGTGGGCGTGGCCAAGTCAATGTCACTTCTTTGCCCTTTTTTAACCTACAAAACACAACACAACACAACTGGCTCACCCACAATGTAAAAGCAGCTGTGCTAGACCCAAAATGGCCCCTGCAACAAGCAGGAACCTCACACAGGCACAAAAAGCCCAAAAAAACAACTTTCACACTTTACACACACAAAATTCCACATACAGCTTTGTGAGATTTTGTGTGTTTGTGTAGTTAGAGTGAAACACTACAGAAACACACTAAATCTCAGAAAACTGCACAAATATTATTTTATTTTAATTTATTTTTATTTTTATATAAAAGCAGCTAAATTTAAAACCTCCTAAACTTTAAATGGCTAAGTCTAAAAAAAGAACAACTAAAAAAAACCCCAATTAACTATTTTTTTTTAAAAAAATTAAAAACTTACCCAATATAACAGGGGTCTCCAACCTTGGCAACTTTAAGACTTGTGGACTTCAACTCCCAGAATTCCTCAGCCAGCTTTGCTGGGAGTTGAAGTCCACAAGTCAAGGCAGGCAGCCAGAAAGAGCTTTCTCACCAATGAGCTTGAATGCAGCCAGGGATATTCAGTTGCTTGCTGATGCATGGATTCCGATCGGCATGTGATCAGCAGCTAAGGTAAGCAAGCTGGAGGCTGGGGGGGGGGGGGGGGGGGAAGAAAAAAAGAAACTTTTTTTCTTTTACATGGCTCTGGTGATCCAAGCTGAGTTGCCTGATTAGCAGGCAACTCAGCTGGGATGTCAGAGCTTGGCTGGTCAGAGCCATTTAAAAGGAAAAAAAGGCTCTGATGATCGCGGGGCTCAGCTGGGCATGGGGGGCGGGGGCAGGGATTTTTGCTACCGGTTCTCCGAACTGCCCGCCGCCATCAGTACCTACTCACCCGAGCTGGTCCGAACCAGGAGCATTTCATCCCTGAGACAAGGCCCCCTTCATGACGGCCTGGGAAACTGTCCCATAACACGTTTTCAAAAATCTAATGATGATTCAAAGATTTGTGTGTCTTTAATGAAATCTTTAACATAGACTTTTACAAGATTTTTTTTCTGGTACAAACCGTAGGCTAATATGCACTTAATAGTCTTCTCCCAGTGCTCTTTTGGGCAGTCTTGTAGTGTTGAATACAGATAATGTTTTTCTTTGCCCATTTAAGCCAATATATCTCTGCCAAGTGAAAAGCTTTACATCTGAATATAATTCCCAAGTTTTAAATGCTGAAAAAAAATGTGTTAACATTAGTTTAAGACATAATCATCTGAATCTAGTCTAATGTGGACATTCAACATACAGACAAAGCAACGGACGTTTAAAAGAATATATTCTGCCACACTCTGTAAACCCTGGAAATTTTTCATACAGGTAGTCCTTGACTTACGATTGTAATTAAACCCAGAATTATGGTCGTAAGTTATGCCAGTCATTAAGAAGGTCACCAGATAACTATACCTGATTTTACAACCTATTTTGCAGTGATCATTAAGCAAATCTGACAATTGTTAAGTAGATACTATGGTTGTTAAACGAATCCGTTCAATCCCAGTTTCCAGCAAAAATCTATCATAAATTGCAGTCCCGTGACCAGAGGATACTACTAACATACTATCCAAACAGTCACTGAATGATAAATTAGTCAACATTTTAGGTCAGCCTATGAGATGAGCCAATCAAAGTGAGTCATCAGAAATAAATTATTTTTCCAAGGGAAGATGGGGAACCTTCTTTGATTTGTCTACATAAGAGAAAACAAACAACAGCTTTGTTTTAAAATCTCTGTTTAGTAGATCTAGATATTAATCTCTAGATATTAATAGAAATAGTTTGGTGTAGTGGTTAAAAAGTCCTGGTTTAGAAATCGAGGATTATGAGTTCTAGGCCTCCCTTAGCTAAGGCAAGTCAGCTAACTGGCTGAGGGACTTCGGGCCAGTTACCTTTTTCTCTCAGCCCAATTCACCTCACAGGATTGTTGCTATGTGAGGAACATAGGAGGCAAGAATATTAAGTAGATTCGCCTTGAGTTTTTATAAAAAAAATCTAATAATAATAGAGACAAAAAAGAGGCACAGCGAAACTACGCATGTTACTAATTATTGCTACTCATAAGCGTATACAAGAAGGCAAAGGCACACAGTCAGGCCGGGAAATGTGTTCCCGCTCTCCTAATGCTGTTTGCTTACGGATGGACCCGAAGAATCCGCCATAACGTGGGAAAGGAAGAAACCTAGAATTGCGCTAAATTCAGCGAATCGCCTTTTCCAACAACTGACAGCGAGGGAGGAAGAAGGGCGGGGACAGAGGCTGCCTGATATTTGGGGCGGTTTTTTTTTGTCACATATTGTGCCCTCAATAGAAATAGATAGGATTCCTTCTGGCGCTGACACGTATCTGTCCGCAAGGGCATCCCCGGGCTAAACTTTCCCGGGTCATATAATATATGTGGGTATATGCATAATTTTATAGGTATGTATTTATTTATTTTGTCATGTTTATGTAGTGTATATTAGAGGTGGAGGCCCTTTGAGAGCTGTATGCAATGAAATTTCATTTTAATGTATGCCGATTAGTGTACATTCAAAGTGACAATAAAGTTAGTTTAAGTCTAAGCTTTCTACTTGGCAGGCTTCTCCCGCTGACTGATCATTTTTCCTCTTAATTTCTTCTCCGCCCCCCTCTTTTCCCCCCCCGTTGTCCCTCTCCGGAAGTGACGCAGACAACGGAATGAATGTGACGTCACTTCCTCTCCTTGCTAGCCTTGCGACGTTCTAGGATTGTTCTTGGGCACGAATGTTGGCGGGCCTTCGGCCGTGGCCGTGGCGGGTTGTTTGCTTCTTTGTTTTTTTTCGGTGAGTGGTCAGTGGTGGATGATGAGAAAAGGGAGTTGCTGAACGCGGCGGTTAGAAGGCGGTTGAGCTCCAGGGCGAGCGGGAATGGTGCGGGATGAGGAAAAGAGGAAGGAGGGGGAGTTAGGCGAGGAAAAAAAGGGTATAAATGTTCTAGAGTTGCGTTTTATTCAATCTTAGCCATTTTAAAATGTGTGGACTTCAATTCCCAGAGTTCCCCATCCTGCATGGTGGCTGGGGAATTCTGGGAGTTGAAGTCCACGCTTCTTAAAAAGGGCCAAACTCTAGAAGATGGCATGCTGCTGCGTTCCAAAGAGGTTGGAGATTAAGATCTACGTTTTCTGGGGCTGATCTTTGAACTCACAAAAAATCCGTAAAACGTGTGTTGCTCACAACACTTTTTTTTTTTAAAACTGAAATCGCCCGCTTTTAGAGAGTTTCTAACTAAAAGGTCTTTAATTTTGCTGTGTCTTGTTCTCCAAGTTGTATCATTGCTCGATAAAATCGGCTGTATAATTGGTGTTCAAAAAATTATAATATCCATCGCTTAACTAAATAAATAAAAAAAAAGCGAAGTGCAAAGTTTTCAAAACTGAACCATGTATCAATATGCTGGAAACACCAAGATATCTAAATATCAACATGGCAGGTTTTGAGCGATTGCATGGACCTGGTCAGCTCCAAGCCACCAAAATTAATGACTTGACATCTTGCCTGAGAAACCTGCAGGAAAATCCATATTGTATTAACACAGAAATTCTGTCCCTTTCTGTCCGTCGTTTTCTGCATATTAAAAGAATGGACCGTCAAATTCCTCATTTAGGATAGCACTTAGCTGTGGGCTTGGGAGGACATTGCTGATGGAGGGCCAGAGATACTGCAGAATTCACATGCTACCTTACGTCAATATTGAGGAAAGAGACACTGATTTGGCAGTATTATACTAGTAATCCTGAGCTCTAGTGTCCTTAGCTTCTAGATAGTATAAAGTTTAAACCAAGTCTTCTCACTCTGTAGAGAAATATACAAAAAAGGTAATATTTTACCCTAGGTTTCTTATTCTTTTTGAGGGACAAAAACTAAGCATATTTATTTGGATTAATCCAAACATCCTGTATGAGTTGCCCTATAAGTGTATGCGTGGAATTGAAGGGAATACATTATTGACAACTGCAAATATAACAACAGTGGCTGCCTTTTTTTCTGTTTTAGGTAATATGAAACGTGACTAGTTCTCAGACCTCATGTACTTCAAAGAGGGACAAGACAGAACTTTAGGGGAAGAGAAAGTGAAGTTTCTGAAATTGTCATAAGATAATAATGCAAAAGAAACTTGTACAGTAGTTATGATTCCAATAATATTTTACATTTTTAGTGTTTGTCTATAAGTAAATAATTATTAATGGAACAATTATTGTGTTCCATATAACAAGTAATAAAACTTATTTTAACAATATGTTTCTCAATAACTAAGTTTCCAGAGGGGTTACATTTATGGTTTTCTGGTCTTCAGAAATTTCTAGACAATTTTCACTGTTGCTCTTTGATTCCCCCCCCTCCCACAAATATTCATTGTATATTCACATATGCCTTATAAAAATACAAATAAAGCTGTAATATTTGTTTGTCAAAATTTACTTCATATTTTTCCATTTACTAAAAATGCAACTTTTTTGAGATGTGATTATGATCAGTCAATTACTGAGTATTTGCAAATCCCCTAGTATTCCTTCTCTGGGCAAAAAAATATTCTCTGAGTTTAAAGGATCTATTTTATTTCACCAATACTAATTCTAATTATAAATAGTTTTGGAAGCTAATCTTAAATTAAAAATGGGATACCTATAAAACAACAGTATCTTGACCTCTTTATTTCTTTATCACATAAAATGATGTTATTTGGCTGACTAAGCTAACCCTTAGTGTAAACATCAAAATTATAAACAGCTTTCTGTATTTCTTTTACAGATCTGATACAAGTGTTTCAAGATGTCGTACATGCTTCCACATTTACACAATGGCTGGCAAGTAGACCAGGCCATTCTTTCAGAAGAAGATCGCGTAGTAGTTAATCGGTTTGGACATGATTGGGATCCAACATGTATGAAAATGGATGAAGTTTTATATAGTATTGCTGAAAAGGTATAATGTTTTAACTGATTTGGAAAAATAAAATGTTAATGTGTTTTAATCAATAACATGCTAAATGTAGAATATGTGCTTAAGAAAAATGGTGTATTTCTACTAGACATATTTTTTAAAAAATAGCTAAAAAATTGCAATCGAGAAGTGTGAATTTTTTTCTTGAAAAATTCCCTTAAAGATTGGAAAACATTAAATACACCTTTGCACTCCAGTGACTTGTTAACTCACTGAATTTCACTATTTTATTTTTAGCTATGATGTCTTTATTCTGAAATATAAGAAATGCAATAACAAAAAAGTGAATTTAGATAAATTGAGAGTGTTGATTTGTTTTGGCTATCAGTCATGTTGTAGGTGTGTGTGTAATCCTATTTGCTTAGGGACGATGTTTTCATATTCATATATAACTTCACACTATAAAAAGATGCAGCGCATTTACAGGTTTTTTTTCAAGCCACAGCCACTTCATCCAGCTCTGCTGCAATTCTTGCCCAGCATTGCTTCTACAGAAATATCCCAGAGGACATTATGTGTGTTGGAAGGTGGTATTTTAATTTGATGGAGGGTTCATGCATATGGGATGTATCTTATTAGAAAGGCAAAAATTTAGGGATGATATAGATGAGCAGTGAAAATAGTATATGAACTGTTGACAAGAGTGGTATGTTTTCTGAATTAGAAATCATGGTTTTTGCTCTCAAAAAGGTTTGGAATGGAAAGCGAATAATTTCCTTGCAAAAACCCCAAACCTGGCTTAGGTAGTACAGTTTATTATTATTTTTTCTATTTATTTTAATTGTTTTCTCTGAAATAGTTTTAAAGTACTTTATGTAACAATAAACTAGGATTCTCTTGATTGATTAATGCTTGTGAATGTACCATCTGTTTTGTGGCCACAGAAAGCAAATGTATGAAAAAAGACAGCAGAAGTAAAGAAATTTAACTTGAAAGGACGATCTTCATTTCACCTGAAATTATAACCAGAAAAGTGCAAAATGTTTTTAGTTTGGACTGTTTTAAGTTTGTACCATGAGTGCTCTGTCCATCTTCCAGCCTTACTAGCTGTATTTTAACCTTGGCCATGTTTCAAGCTTGAAATATTTCTGGTGAGAGTAAAGCATCCTATTGTGGGCCTCAAATATTTTGTAAAATGTATTTTTTTATTGTGTGAACAATGTACGGAAGATTGCAGTGATTTGATACTTACAGGTAGACCTCACTTAGCAACTGCCTCAGGCAGCCACTGTACAGAGTTATGACAGTGATGAAAAAGTAACTTTGTGAGCAATGCCGGTAAAACTTGCTTTGGACAGCAAGATGGATAGCATATAAATTTAATAAATAAATGAAATAAAATAAATTTACAACCTTTGCAGCATCTCTTAGCCATATATTTTCCATTATAATCATTACAGATTGCTCTGTATCTGACCTGTTTTTTTTTTCTCCTCCCCACCCCCCCTTTCTCAGAGTGGAGAGATTGCCTAAACAAGCTACCTATTCCTGAGCTGCTTTTCTTCACAGCACAATGCATCCCTAAAAAGTGCTAACCACAAGTCAACAAGACCCACTCTGTGACCTTAATTAGTTAATTAGAACCTTTTGCCTGGTTGCAGATTCACAACTGCTTCCTTTACCTGATAAGACTTTAATCAGTTCCACACCTTTGGTTTTTGCTTGCTCCTGTGTTGCTGGGTATACACTAGGCAAACAGTGCTAGCATGTTCTTTTTGATATGTACTCTCCATTGTGTGCCTGCTTACTCTCTTGTAATCCCTTCCTTTCCAAGGACAAACATTAATTCTCTTCTTGTTTATTATCCCAGCAGAGGGATGAATGTTCTCTTGAGTGAGAAAGTTGGGGAAAGGGGCTATGGTATAAGTTTTGTCCTATTACCTGGCTTCCTCATGTATCGAGTTCCAGAAACTTTCCCCTGGCTGTTTGGGGGTTTATCCTTCTGACATTGTAAACGAAAGGAAAGTTGAAGTAAAATTATAAACACAGTCACGGTGAGTTTCCACTTTAGCATCTTAGTTGCCAGTCCCAATTGTGGGTGCTAAAGGAGGACTACCTGTATTGTATTGCCTACAGGTTATAACCATAAAATTGCACATTGTGGTTAAATTTTTATACAATTCTACTAGTCCACAATTTGGTATATTTGTAACTATAAGCTAAGAAATAGGTTGCTGTGGACAGAATTCTGCTTATGAGCAAGACAAGCTCAAATACCAGCTTGTAAGGATCTCTTTGAAAATATGCTCCTGAGAGTTAAAGAGCTGCCTTGAAATGTA